CTGTATCGATACGCGATAAATCACAACAAAAAACCCCCGATAATAATAGATTTTTATTAATAATAAATTATTATTTGAATATAAAAATGGTTTTTTAAAATTTATAAATTGAGAAAAATGTCCCGGTCCATTCTACAAAAAACTATAATTATTTAAATATATAAAAAAATTACGTTAAAAAACAGAAATATACATTTATAGATGAAAATGCCGAAAAATGGAAAAAAAAAATAGTATATTTTGAATCAGGGGAAAGTAATGCATTTTTAGCTAAGATAGCATTTTATAGGATCAAGGGAAAAAAAATGCAAGCCATCAACATCCTATCTCTAATGATCAACATTCATTAAACAGCGACTGTAAGACTATATACGTATTTTATAATATAACAAACTGCGAATTCGGTAGATTTTTTTTTTTCAATTGTCCAGCACATCGGTCGAAATCACACCGTTAATGCACCATTTGAGACACTATTATGAAACTGCAACTCGTTCGGACCAGTTTTTTGTGATTGTATGGTTTGAATCGAGTTGAATTAAATTTCTTAATAACTAATTCGTAAAATATACGAAAAAAATATTACACTTAGCGCTATAAAAATAATTAATAATAAATTAGATAGTATAATAATAATAGTGTGAAATAGATAGTTGAACAAAACTTTCATCGAGCTACTCTAAATTATTTGAACAGTTCGTAATATACTTACCCATTCGAATATGAATCGAATATCGTTATTTTTAAAAAAAAAAAAAAAAATTAACAATAATGAATATTAAATCGTGTGTTTTTCACAAACTAATACATCCGAATAAGGCGTACACTATCAGGTACCTACGTAGTAATTATTATATATCCATGAAAAATACGCAAGTTTAGCTGCATTTTTTTATCCACGTCAAATACCTACCTATACAGTTATAAATTATACAACGGGCATCCATTGTTCGTAATAATAAAATAATCGCGAGAGTTTAAAAAACAACAAAAATAGACATTAATTAAACCGTACCTTGTCGGCGATGGTATCGTGTGTGCGGAGTTTTTTTTTTTATTGTTTTACGTGTGTGCGTACGGCGTGAATGTGCGTGAGCATTTGACGACGGCCGAAGAACGCGCGACGGGTACGCGAGCGCTACTGAAAAACCGCGGACGCCGAGCTTTTCCGATTGGCGGCGCAGATACGAAAATACACCGCCGCGGACGTCGCCGTCGCCGTACAATAAAACCGAACACAACACGTCGTACACTACCCCCTGCAGTATTTTCCGCCGTCCATCAATTATTACGTGCGCGTGTATTATTATTATATACGCTATAGACTTCAATATTCTCGGGGGCGGGGGACGTTTCGGGAAAACGGTGCGGTGGGAACACAAAAATCGTATAATATTGCATTGTAGGTAAATACGGACAAACTATATATTATTGTTGTTAATTTTTTATGGACACGCCACGCAATATGTTCGCACGCGACGTCGTATACCGTCGTTTATATATTATAATATTATAATACGTTACAAGCACCCGGCACACTCGGTAATTGGAATGGTCGACTTATATTATTATCACGGGAAATTACAATTGAAAATATTAAAAACAACAAAAATACGATTGTGTTTTAGAAGTCAAGGAGGTGGAAAGCGGTTTTCCTAATTTTCTCCGATTTTGTAAAATTTAAAAATTATTTTTTACCTTTTAAGGATCGCATTAATGATAAAACGTTTCCGTGAATCTGTACTGTCCAATTATCATTTAAGGAGAAGTGGTACGGTCGTTTTTACAAGCGAAAATGATGAAGTTTAAGATCAACAAGCTGAAGTGAAATTCACTCACTACCGCTCGCCCAATTTTAATTTTGATAACATATTTCCTGCCGTGGAAATGCAAAGAAATCGACAAACATCAAAAACCAAAAAGAAAGCACCTATTAGAAATGAACTGATAAAAATGTCGATAAATGTTTTGAATATATAGTATAGATAGTACTGATCAGAAATTTCACATATTTATAGGAACTGCGTGAAAAAATCAAAAACTTTTGTCCAATCAAAAAAGCGTTTTCTGAAGAAAAAAAAAACAATCATTCCTTTTTGTAAAACTAAAATATATTATTTCTTCGTTATATTCAAAATATAAAATAAATATGTAAAACATGTACTATATATTATATATATTTTATATACAGTGCCGTAGCTGAAGGTTAGCGGCATGGGCGATCGGTAAGGGCACAGAAATGTTTACAGCGCAAATCCCACCCCTAATATTTGTGATTTATTTATTAAAAAAATATAAAGCGTTTGTTTTTTAGAGTCATGTAGGTACGAAAATAAAATTGTAATACAATATTGTATATATGTTGGCAAGGTACTGAAATTTGACAAATCCGAAAAATGTAAAATTGTACAAGTATTTAAATATCATCTTCTACGGAGTAGCGTAGAAATAAAAGGAAAAAGTCAAATCCTCAATAAATAGACATGGAAGCATGAACTCGTAATCGGTTACGTCCAAACCTAAGCTACCGAAGTATACTCTTATCAAGACATCTAAATAGATTAAAGTTAATAAACCGAGAAACACACCAGACATGTCAGAAGAACTTTATTTATACAAACCAGAAGTAACTATAAGAGCGGTCGTGTCCATAAGCTTTCTATGCGAGGAAAAATGGAATTAAGTCGGAAAAGAGGATTTTATTGACTATAAAATGCAAAGGGATATTATGTTTGGTAGTTTTAGAAAGAAAATCTACTTTTTGATTTCCGCCAGTGTCTATATGGTGTCCATAATCCATCTTAATCAGATCATTTTTAAATTGTGTAGTTTTGTTAAATGATAATTCATACAAATTATGAAAACTAATGTGAATACGTAATACATTAAGTATTTAATACTTGTAAAATAAACGATCAAGGTACACAGCACAACTACCAGTTCCATCACAAACATCTCTTAAACAGTGTTGCCGCCTTAATACGGCACATATTAATTAAAAATATTGATTACGCGCGTCGCTCACATAGAAGCGCCCACGCAACTATCGTGGCTAAGTGGAAATCATCTGTGTGGGAGACCGCGAGGACATAAATACGCCATACCCACCCAAAACGACAGTCTGACCGTGTTTGAGTCAATTGTCACTTCTCCGGGTTCGCCCAGCAGAAGCAGACATTATTTTGCTCACTCACTCCAACCATAACTTTTTTTCCAAACCTATACAGTAGTTGCAGATGCCGAAGGCGGGCTGCTATACTTGGTTCTCCCTATCCTATGTACCTGGTAATTGTGCTTGTTGTCACTATTTTTTTACCATAGATTGTGTTTATTTCTTTAAATATGTATATATATATATATATATACAATATTCCGGTACGTAGACAGCTATACACATCCTGAAAACGGTTTTCTATATGCCCAAAAACGAGGTGTATACATTTCATCGATTCATCGATACCTATACCCCTTATATTGTGCTCCTAATATTTTAAGCAACGAACTTCAAGCAGAAAATATAAGGTAAGTACAATTTTTACATATTTTCGTAGTAAAATAGGCAAAAGAGAAATATAACTTCTTTCGATAGGCAATAGCCATCGTCAATAAATATAATAGGTACGTGAATTTATCGACACAATATAAGTATACGTACATACATTACAATACAATCCGAACGACCGCGCACGCACATAGAATAGAATTCTCGTACATAGAATCATTTACACACACACACACAGTGGCGTTCCTAAGCCTCTCTTACGGAGGAGGGGGGCAAAATATATTCGCCACCCCTGGACCTTTTTTTTTTCATCAACTGTTATATATGTTCTGTGCGTAAGCAACGATAAACTATTGCTAACGAAAAAACGATTCTGAGGGGAGTTCACAGTTGTTAGCGATGCTTTGTCAACAATATATATGTCATATTATGGTGAAATAGGTAATTAAGAAGACGTGATACACCCGTAATTTGAGCGTAAAAACATAGTTATCGAGTTACAGAACCATTTTGTTAATAATTATGATAGATCGACAATTTATTTTTTTTTTTTTTATAAGGAGAACTTTAGCTGTGACAAAGCGTTTTTATTTTTTAGCTAGTACAAAAAGGTTTAAAAATATTAATTTTTAAAGTTTGTAAATATTTCAAATTTTTTGTTTATAAATATAAAACTATTGAGATAAGTTGTTGGAAACTGGAAAATGCTACGTCACAGACAATTTTTTCCTTAAGATGATAAAAAAAAAAATGATGGATCTATCGTAATTATTAAAATAATGGTTTTGTTTCGCGTAAAACTGTTTTTTCGTGTAAAAACGTTGTCAAATAATTATTTCACAACGGCAGAGATTCGGTACGCGCAACGCCATCTCTCGTGTGTTGCACGTGAACAGCTTTGGATATCACGTCCTTTTAAATAGGCATTAATGCAAATACAAATCTGATTGCAATTTGTACTACATAATAAAAAAATAAAATTATATTATAAATATATATTTTTTAAATTGTGAGTGAAACGAGAATGTTCCAAATGTATTAGTTTTACAATCATGTTTATTTTTTTTTTGTTTATGTGAACACTTTTTCTACCAGAAAGCATACTCCGATTATCTAGTACAGCACCTTTTCTAAAAGGAAAATTTCTCTGGGTGGTACTTTAGAGAGGTCATTTTTATTGAAACTCTCATTAATATTCGATAATGATGAAAACCTCGGTCTTTAGGCTAAAAAAGATTAAAAGATTAAAAATAAAGTTGTCATTGGCAGCCGTTTATTAAGTTTTTATTATTTTAATCTTTTTTAAATAATTATTGTTGTCATGGGAACGCACTGTTGTAAACATTTTACCATATGATATATACCATAATATATTGTATTGTTAACAAAGCAACACTATCTACTGAACAACTCCGTTCAGAATCGTTTTTTTATTAACAATGGTTAAACTTGAAAATAAGCTTGAAGGTTTCGCACAAACTGATAATGGATTCAGTACCTATTCATGGTCTTTCAACAAAACTTCCCGATCTGCAGGGAAATATTGCTCAAATGAATTGTTTAGCTGTTTGAGGTGCTCAATAATCTCGTTAACAATATTAGTAGAAGCCTGCTCACCATTTTCTTCAAAAAAGGCTTGCATTATTAGAAAACACTCAAATTTGCCTATAGTAGTACATTCTGTCCAATAATTAATTTTCCTTTTGAATGCACTTACTTTGTGGCTGGCATCAAAAGTTGTCATAGTCCTTCCTTGTAAGGAAAGGCTAAACTCGTTCATTTTGCTAAAATTATCGGCCAAGTATGAAAATTGACAAAGCCTTGTTACGTTATTCATGATTTCACCCAATGTAACGTTGTGATCCATTAAAAATGAAAGAACTTCAGTTCGTAGTTCCATTAACCGTTTAAGAGTCTTACCGCGTGACAACCACCTGACTTCTTTATAGGAAAGTAACGTACTATGAAGACTGACTTTCCATGTCATCACATAAAATTTTAAAAAGTGGTCGACGAAATAAAAGGTCCTCTTCAAAAATATGCATATTTACGTAACGAACGAACACCAACAAAATAGCATATAAATATACATGGAACTGTTAGAAAGAACTTTCAAACAAATTACGTACTGTGGCTGGCAATCATTAGTATCTGTGAACCCCATCTCTAAATAACGTTCGTTGTATTTACGTTTTTTGGTCGGGTTCGTGAAGTCATTCGCATTTGATTTACCATGATGAACTACTTGACTACCGTTTTCGTCATTGCTTCTCCCATCTACGGACTGAGTACAATGAGATGCCTCTGTAACAGGCTTCTTATTAAAATGTCCACCTTTCAACCAACGCTCCGTGTTTAGAAAAGAGAAGAACACATAAACGGTTAACAACGCGCGCACTAGAAACGTAAATAACACAATACGACTAAACGGTGTAAATTCACGCACACTACTGAAGGTAAAGAGCTCAAGCAGTTCCAAATAACAAGACTAATATGTAATAGTTAATTAAATACATCGTACGACAAGATTAGATAATAAAGGAACAATCAATAATTATTTATAATAATTTATTACCTTAAAAGCATATCTAGTAATGATATTACACTGATAAACGCCGAACCCAGTCATCGGGCATATGATGTCTGAAATTATATTTACGAATTCACTTATAAAGTTAAAATTAGAATGTCCGAATACACAATAAAAAAAATCACATTATTTGCCATAGTTTTCACGAAAACAATGAGGAAAAAAAATTCTATACATTTTAAACTATTTGTTGTAAACCGTAGACCGCAGTGCCCTTAAATAATGATGGCGGTGCCTCTATGGTCACCGCGGTTAACAGTTTGGGAACCGCTGACCTAACCTAAGTACTTTGCTTATCTGCCTAAACTTAAAACTGGATTATCTCCTCAACGGATTGTCGGAAATTAAAAATGTAAATACCTACTAAAATATTTTTAAACTAATATTCTATCTATTTATATCATTTTTAATAGAAGTTATCATTTTAAAATCAAAAGTAGGTACCTATAGTCATTTCACCCTCAAAAATAAAGGTAACAAAAATTATGGTAATACAACATTTTAGAGCTGGTTTATTTTTAAATGTTATTAAATTTTAAAAAAAAGTAATTATTATCAAACAATTTCTTGATGTAATATAAATACCGATTTTTTCAAATGCCTCCCGGAGAAAATCGTCTTAAAGAAACACTAGATACTGTGCATCTACATATGACAATACAGAAATGTATTCTTAACTAACAATAAGAAACATTCATAAATCTTCCAATAAATGTTATCATACACTTCACTATGCTATTATACACTTAATAAATATATTTATTTAATATTAAATTAAATAAAATAAAATAGGTATCAAGGAGATTAACAAAAAATAGATAACACTTCAACTAAGTATTTCTTATTCGATCAATACAAAATATAAACAGTTAATACAAATTAAAAACATTAAAAACATTTATACAGCAATTACTTAACTAGTCATAGTGTCATAGTGGTACCAATATTTCATGGCACAATGATAATACAGTTGCCTTCCTATTTGATAATTTAATTAAAAAACATTTAAATTTTAAATCATTTTTGTGAATACAATACAAGTTACATAGTTCATTAGTATCAACTACAAACGATTTGTTACTGAATTCTGAAACATTCGTACATTTTTTTCCATAAGTTTAACCGGTTTGTCCTTAGGTATTATAATATACTATATAACTATTAATGAATTGTCTTAACACAAAAAATAATTATCTTTTTCTTTCATAACATCTATGGTTAGTCTTGATACATTCAAAAATATATTTTTGATAAAGTTTATCTGTAGTAGTTAAAAATGAAAAACTTTGATAATCAATTTCTTTGCATAAAATAAGAGAAATTGATTTTAAATGTAAATTAGTGTTAATTAGCTGTAGTTTTTCTTTTACTCTATTATAAACTTCTTGCAGAGAATATTTTAGGTCTTAAATAGATTTTTTATATATTGTAAATAGTTTTCATATCTGTATAAACTATTATTAATTATATTAATATTTATTGAGTGGCCCGTGTAATAATACAAAGAAGGGTAAATGAATTAAGCTATGAACATTATAACTTATACATTGATGGCCATATAATGAACCATAGTAATTCACATATTGTACTAATAATTCAGATGCTTTATTATATTTAAAATAAGTATTTGGAGAAACTAAAATTCTAAAGGCAAAAATTAACAACAAAAAATGTTTTAGAAGTTCAGGCTTTAATTTACCTTTTAAAACAATTGCTTCTGTGTATAAAACAAAACAACGTAATTCAGTAACCTACCAGTACTCTATATTATCAATTGATTGTGGTAATTGACAAAACTTTTATGGCACATAGGGCCTAAACATTTTTAAATCATTATTTATGCTGTTTCTATTTTCATCTGTTAATCGAACATCCCTTTTCCCTTTAATCAAAAATTCTATTAAACGTTTAGTGATTCCAAGACAAACACAATGCATATAGTCTAAGCATGTTACATTTACTACATTGATAGGCAATTTCAGTATGTGGGAATCACCTTTATTATATTCTTCATTGGATTGATTTCTAAGTTTTATTTGTTCCAATTAAAGCTACTTGATTTTCTATATAATCCCATACTTCAATGCATGAAGTACACCCAAAATAAGTATTAAAATTTATAAAGCTAGGGGCATCACAAACTATATTAGAAATATTTACCCTAATTCAAATTCCATTTACATTTAAGCAATTTCTTAAAACTTGTAAAACATCAACAATAAACAGATTTTAAAATTCTTCAATTGAAAATAGTTTCTGAACCCATGTACCAATTGGAAGTACATTATTGGGTAATTCTTTACAATTTAAAATAAAAACTAGTATAAGCTATAATTGACTTTTACTACTTTTAGATATTGGTAAACCATTAATATTAATTTATATTTTTAGTATATTATTGTATCAATATTAATTAAAATTACTTCTAAAAGTGGTAATAACATATTTTTTAATCCTAAATGTATATAGGCGTCATTAAATATATTTATAATTTGGTTTTAGGAGTGTTCATTTAAGTTCTAATATCACTAGGAACTTGCATTTTTATCACTTCGTAATATAGTTAAAAGTAAGTTAGCAGCATTATGAGAAATTTTAAAATGAAGTATTCAATTGCTTAGTTTGTCACAAAAACCATTATTTGTATCAATTAAAGTTTCGTTTGAATGTGAACATACAATTAAATCTTGTATTTCAGAAAATATATGACTTGGTTTCTTAAGATTACTGTCATTTACAACACTTAATGGAGTACTATCAGAACAACAATTAAGAACTGCACCACAAACCTTAAGTAAAATGTGTTAAACAAAAATATATTTTTTTTAAAAAAAATGTAAATATTATATACACATTTTAAAGGGTTATTTTATTTAAGATTTATTTTATTGTCTTAGTATTAACAATAAATATACCTACAATTTCAATATTTCTACAAAGTACATTAAGTCTAAATAAAATAAAACATTGAAATACATTAAAATGTAAGTAGTATAGAACATTAATAATAATAATTTTTGTTTCACTACAACTAATTGAAGAAAATATGCCAAATCTAGTATTTGATGTTCTCAGTCTTTCAGTTACTTCTTTTTCAAACTGTGAATCGTCAAACAGAGATGAAGAACATTTTTGAATAACCCCTAAAAAAGTTCAATTAATAGTATAATGTATTTGGGTATATTGCTCACATAAATTATTCAAAATTATTATTATTTATTTTTAAATTTACTTTTCACTATTTTTATGAGTTCAGTTTTTTTTAACTTTGTCATGTCTTTCCCCCATCGACGGGCAATCCTTGTAATATGCACAAAGAATTCATCAGTGAACAATTTGCTTATGATTATTTTCACATGATTTACAGCACAATTATCTTTTATGCTTCTTATAAATGATTCCTTAATAATAAATGTAAAAGTTATATATATTATATTTATTTAATTTTAAAAGACTTTATTTCACCAGTTTCAGGACAAAGTTAGTTTAATTATTTGTATGATTTTCTATCAATAATAAATCCTCTGCATTTTTTAAGGAAAGTAACTCAAACAATTTTGATCAACATACAGAGTTGGATCAATGCTTTGAGGTGAAGTTTTTAAATTTACTTCTATTAATTCAATTTTAGATAATATGCGATTTAACATCAAATTTGTAGCAGTTTATCCTGGTAGTATAATGTCGTAAAATTTATCTAATTTATCATCAAAAAAGTTTATCCAATAATAACAGATACAAACAGAAATATTTAAATTATTGTTTTTAACATAATAATTATAGTTTCCTTTAAGTTACCATAAGATTTGGTGTTGGAAGTGTTATGGAATTGCTGCAATGAATTCTGTGTACTTGAAGACTGTATAGGTACATTTAAATATATTATAGTAATTAGAAACCTATATGTATATTTATAATTAATTTATTTTATAGGCATATATATATTAATTGTTTAACAAACCATTTATAATAAAATATTAAAAAGTAAAAACAAAATTATTAAAAAAGTTAATACTCGTAAATAAATACATAAATAAAATATGTATGTATAAAAATAAAATAAAATAAATTATTTAATACGTCGCCTGGAGTATTATGATAAATATATTATTTGACAACTTTCAAATTAAAAATTCATCAAGTTTGTCAGTCAAAATGTAAAAAACAACTGAATATAAAAAATTATACAAATTGGCAGTTTTACATAGAAATAATTTATTTTAATATGAGATTATTTAAACTGGGTTATTATTAGACATATCCATGTTAAGAAAAATAAATTATTTAGTTATTTATTATTTAAAATGTATTGATTTGAGATATTTTTTTTTTAAATCGGTTTGTATATTTAAAATATTATTACAATTTGTTTTCTTTATTTCATTGTACATAGGTATGTAACTCTTCTAAAACTGAATTAATATAAATGTTGTTTTGGGTATTTAATACCTAAGTTTGTATTAATATCAAAACTTATATTATGGTTATTTTCTAAAACATGTTTAGCAAAATTTGAATTAAGGGCAGTCTTTTTGAATTTTATTTCAGAAATATGGTCTTTATATCTTATTTTAAAATTTCTATTTGTCCTACCTATATAAAATTGATTAAAATTACATTTAAGTTTATATGTACCAGCATTTTAAAAATAAGAGATTTTTAGTGAAGTTTTTAGTTCTATTGTTTAAATGTTTGATTAAATTATTATAAGTCTTAAAAGCAATTTTTACATCAGTTGTATTATTTTTCAGAGTTCGTTAGACATATTATTTTGATATTTCATGATACAATAGTTAACAGCATTATTTGGTGAGTTGTGTATTATTTTTTCTTTAATACATTTACGAATTATTTTAATAGTACTTATATTTACTATCTATTTATTTTTTATTTCTATATGTATTTACTATATTTGAACCATTTATATTAAACTTCAGTTTAATATTTGGAACAAATCTAGTTTACAGCCCAAGGTCATTTTTTTAATTCTTTTTTTTTTTCAAAATATGTGTTGAAAAAAATTTGAAAAACATGCTTGAACCGTAAACTAGATTTATACCATTATTTTAAGTTAAGGATGAACAAATTTATTAAGTATAAAAATAAAAAAATTACTTGTATATCATTAGGTAATTAGTAATCTGAACTTGATTGACCATAGCGGGTTTGATACACTGATAATAATGGGTTACTCATCTGATTTGATAAAAATAATTAGTGTGATTCAATTGGTTGCATAGTTGATATACTGCATAATACTTCCTGTGAATGTGAATTATTAACCGATTGTAGTTTTATATAGTGTCTTTTCATTACTGGGTAATTTAAGTACAGGTGTTATACTATATCCAATATTTAAACACAAGTTTAATGTTAAGAGTTATAATAATATAATCATCAGTTTAATATAATAAATGGCGCATATTAACTATAAATTGAAACACAATTAATAAATTATAATTACCTGAACATTTACCTAATCTTTATAATTAAAATATTTATATCCATCACTGCAACTGTTCAATAGATCTCAACATGTGCATATACATTTTGGCATCAAATTAATCTCTTCGCTTTCTGATTCTTTTTACACTCTTGTATGTCAAGCTTTTTTTAAATTATCTAAAATGGTGTCATTTAATTTTTAAAATAAAAGTTTTTAACATTTTTTTAAAATATAACATAGGTACTAGTTATTTATAATGATATCAACACACACAAAATAACAATAAATATAAACTTTGTAATTATTTATTTTGCATAGGTGACTACCACATGTTTTATTGCCGCCAACTATTTTTATTTCAAACTTTAATCAAGTTGATTCTGGATCCAAACCATCATTAATATCTATACTGGTTACTTAACCAAGTGGCCAATAGCAAAACTATACAGTACTATTGGATAGATTATTATAATAATTTTGTACGAGCCACTTTGTTGTCACTACACTGTAGTCCTTTGGGTCCGAAAATATAACAATAACCCTGTTAAATTTATTCTGAACCAAAAATACATACTAGTTGTTTATTACCTACTATAAATAATAATGGGTATTAATGTACAGAATAATGAATCTTACCTTTCTAGTTGCTATGAAAAATGTAATAATACAATACTTCCCAGCTAAATACTTGTTATTTATTGTCATAATATTGTCACTTTTTGTTGTTTTTTTTTCAATTAACCTGCTTCAGTGGGAGATCAGTTTTTCACATTACTACCCCTCTACTGCCATCATCTATTAATAAGTATAATTAAGTAATGTTTTGTAAAACCCTGTTTTTCCTTTCGCGGGAACGGGTGTGAAGTTAAAGGACCCTAGTCAGGGGACTTTTTTGATAAGAAATGAGTGTCATGACATTGTCTAATTCAGTTGCCTATGGCATACAAATTAAAAGAGTAATACTATGAAAACGAGAAACACAGGATAATATAAATCATAACACTAGATAGCGATTTTGTGTTCAATAAACATTGATTTATTAGAACAGAGGTTCCCAAAGTTTGGGTTGTTACTAAAAAGTGGGTCACAATCATATTTTTATAGGGGCGCGTTATATTTTTAAATAAAAATACAAAATTTTTTTGATTTTTCCAAGAATTTTCCCAATAATTCGTTAAAACTGAAACATGTACAAAATGTCAGTGTTAGTTTTAAAAATGTTACGGCCTTTTTTTCCCCATGAACAAATTTTCTACCAGCAAATTGGATCTATACTTACAAATAAGAGTATGCTACTAAAACAACTTCACAGATAATCCAGAAATGAAAAATAAAAAAAAGAAAAGGTCCATTGATATAATTCTGGGTCGCCAAAATTTAAATTATTTCCATAATGGGTCGTACCATAAAAAGTTTCAAAACCTCTGTATTAGGTAATATTCTACACAAACACAACTTTTCAAACAGCTAAACGCAGAAACTATACAACTAAATTTGATGAAGCTTTATTTAATCAGTTTTTTTTAAATTGTAAAAATATAAAATTAAGTGTTTGCAAAACATATAGCCAGGCACGGATTTAGAAAAAAACAGGGCAATAAGTTTTCAATGAATTCAAATTTCAGCCGCGTGTTATGATAGTAGGTACCATAGGTCAAGTGTCACGTAACATTTAGAGCAGTGGTTCCCAGATATTTTTTTTTTACTTCTCCAGTCCCTCAGATTTTCAAAAATTTCACCCCCCTCCCCCAAGTTAGGAACAATTAATTTAGAGGACCTTGTAAACATATTAGAACTTACTAAATCTTTTTCTAATTGAAAATCAACTTAAGTTAGCCTCAAAGGCTCCAAGTTCAACCAACGATGTCTTTGGTAGATTCAAAGACAACATTTTCGATCTAAAAGACATAACATTAGTGTCTAGTCAATAATCTAGCAACCGTTATTTAAATATCAGTCAGATCTGTTTTCATTATTGCTACATCATTAGCTATTTTCATAAACCATGAGTATACATAACATAAAAATAAACAGAAATACTCAGAATAAGTTTTGTTTTAACATTTTCACAGGTAGGTGAACAATAGAAAATACAAATTTTAATCACTATAAAGATTATTATTCTTAACTACACTGGTATTCAAATTTTGGTTTTCAATACTGGTATATAATAAAGGAAAAGATTCTTAATTTATTATAACTTATAACTAAATAGTGAAAAATTAAGATATGTTTCATTACTTTTGTTCAACTCACATTGTTCATTAGAACCAAAAATGTTGTTAAAAAAAAAATCATTTAAATTAGTTTTTTATAAACAGTTTTGGTTAAATAAATTAGTTAATGATGTTATAGAATGTATGCCATTGTCTTTTTCATTCACAATTTCACTGGAGTTAAAAGTATGATAGTAAATATTTAATTCCATTCCATTTCAATATTATACAATTATTAGCATGTACTTTTCACAGTTTTTTGGTTTATGGCAGTAGTTTCCAAGTCTGAATGGAATTCTGCTGTTATAAGTTTTTTCCTTAATGACTGAAAGTTATCTAGAACAATTTTTTTTAAAAAAAACTAACACAAAGGATAATCAAGTATATTGTGTTTATCTTCACTAGTGATTTTCCGGCTGTGATTGAAGTCTAAGTGAAGTATATTTGCAATTCACAGGAACCCAAAGGAAAACATATCCGATCTTTATTAAAAATACCTTTCATAGTACATTTCTCACATGAATAATAAACCTGATGAGGTTTTATGCACTTTGAAAAAGCACGTGCAGGTGCATCCGCTATAAATTCAAAAAAAAAAATTTCTTTGTACTGCCATTATAATTGAAGTCAGGCGTAAAAACAGTTTTTAAATCTAAAATTAAAGGAGACAAATACTCGGAACAAGACTTTGGTTAAAAACTTCCACAGTATACAACAATAACAAATACTTGTAATCCTGATTTATTACAACATACACCACCCAGTAGGTATAGGCCAAAAGTGATAATTTAAAATTTCTGTCCCATCTCTACTGATATCCAAAGATTGAATATATTTTGTGTTTACCATTCAGTATGTAGTTGTAACACATAACCTAACCTGTTGTAACCTAATTTTAGTCCATCAACTAATCCAAAATTAATATATTGGCCATTATCAGATTGAGTGATAATGTTTAAACTGCCTGATCTGGGACAAGAAAGAAAAGTTCTGGAATCTGATAGGAGTTCTTTTAACATATTTATGTCATTTACATATTTAATGAACGTAACAGATCATTTACCTTATTACAAAAAAAATTACCATCGATTACAAGCTTAGCAAGATTATTTCTAAAGTTTTCTGGAGTCAAGTTCGCAACATTTTCTTTCATATTTTCAAGGAAAATCAGTTCTATTTGGAGATGTTCTTTCATCTATATTTAAAAAATTGTGTTTTCATCCTGAACTGAAATTTTTTGAGTATCCGTAAATAAAGGCATTTGAAGTGGAAATTCGTTTTCAACTATACTTTGAGAATGGAAGTCGGTTTCAAATGAATGAAATATTGGTGCTAGATGATTATTTATTTATACCTTCTCTACCCTACACACTGTAGTCAATTTGAAAGTTAGCCTATAATAAAGTTATATAAACTTACTATGCCTTCGTGGCATAGAAACTTTTACAAACTCGCGATATGGCCAAAAATTAGTTTATTATAATATAAATTTGCTTCCACACTTTATAAATGCCACTGAATACCATTTGACAAGGCCAATTTCCAAACAGATTAACAGTATTTTTCAAAGAAAGCTATTATAATCATAACAAAATATACTATCGTGCACTTGTGTACATGTGACTCATGCACGTGTGGACGTGCCAACTGCCATTTAACATTTCAGCGGCACACAGTAATGGGACTATAACGCGGACAAGGTTATATAGGTTGAATAAATATATTATAAAGTGTACTTACCTATTTGTACTGGCATTATTAATGTCCGATTAACGTACCAACGTATACGTTCCAGAAAATACAAGTAAAAACGAACACCAAAACCAACACTATATAATACCATTTATAATATAATAATAATTTATTATGTGCACATTGTTATATTGATAACATGTTATCAATATAATATTATCTTAATCTCATACTAACAATTCTGAGCAGGCGGTAATGTGGAATGTGGATTATTCGTGGATTCCTCGTTGGTAAATAAATATAAACTTATACTTAATATGACTATGAGAAAATAAAGCGGAATACATGTTGATACAACTAGGATATTGTCCACTTAAAGTCAATACACTTTGATGATATTTCAATATTAAACATCCGCCATCTATGTATACAAATGTTATTCACTAAATATCAACCGTTTTCAGACACTACAATATATGGTAAAAGTATTGTAGAATACATGTTGATAATATAAATTGATTTACCTATATTTTTTAATCGCAATTTAGTAGTAGTACCGAATACCCGTTTATAACTGAAATTGAATTGATTCAATACTTGTGATCATTTTGGATAGGTAAGTAATTAATTTAATTATTTTGAGTAAATTTAAATATGTATTTTCCTGTTATACAATGTATTTAATGTTTCAAAAATATACCTATACAATGAATAATACGACAATTTTAGCATTGACAAATGTGAATTCTGCCTGGAAAACTTAAAAAAAATCAGTGAATTTTCAGAAGGAACAGCAACGCTGATGCACTGATACACTGGTATCGGTTATCAAAAAACGACGCGATGACAACTACGACCGTGTTAACTTATGACGTCGTTTCGTGTGTTTTTTATTAGGCCACGGCTAGCGGGGACGGTGGCACCCATAATACCGGAAGAAGATGAAAACTCCAAACTCGACTTCCTCAACATTGAACACATGACGACCGACGACGCGTACGGTGGGATAACCGATTCGTATTCGAACTGCATCTGGACGGATGTACACGCAGCATACGGGGACGCGAATTTTTTGGAATCGTGCGATTAATTCTCGTACGCGACGCATAACTTATCGGTATTTTCGAACGAAATCGATAAGATTTGATCACTTATCGAATGCGGTAAAGTATGTCGGCCGAACCGTTACCATGCTGGTAACGACATAAAGTCATTTAGATTTCCAGAGAGAGAAATCCTATGATTCTCTAAATTCAAATAATTATGCGAATTACGAATTGATTCTTTTATGGCCGATTCTAATTTATTATCGATCACACGTTTATTTCTATTTTCATTGTACGCTGCATGATAAAATATATAAATATATAATTTATTTTATCACGGTACCTGTCTTATAAATGTGTACCTACACATCATTGACTCCAATAATTAATTGTGGCCAGTTTTTCGTTAGATTTTCAATAGTTTTGTTATTGTACTTGGTTAATCGTTCAAACGGAACACGCGAAATAAAATATCTTCCGCGTATATTAGTACAGAATAATGAAAAAAAAATATCAACAGAAAAATAACTCGAGCGCAACACTGAAATGTGCATACACAAAATTGTTATAATTTTAAAATTATAAATCGATTAGATATTGATATATTACTCTTTATAAATGTTCATGCGATATAAGCTAATCACCGACTTCATATCCAGTCGAATGATCCTGTTTATTGTTTTTCATTGAACTACATTCGTAAGTTTTTTCAAGAACACGTCAAATATTTATTTTTGTGCAATGAAATTTTTATCGCTTGTTCCAAAGTTTATCGCGATTTTTAGAATCCCGCCCTCCCCCCTCCGCCCGATCGAAGGAATTGAAATATATAATTTGAAAAAAAAAAAGCATTATTGTAATTTGTACGTTTTTGTCGTTTGGCTGTCTATACAATTTTCCAGTACATCCGGCGAGGAGAGTTACGAGTGTTACGGAGTGAGAGACTTTGTCGCCCGCAACCAACGCGTTCGCAATGTTTGTATCATATACTTAACGAGATCCGCATATTCTGTGCGTCCATCCAAGTCCATCTGCGGTAACATCGGTTCCCCAACCGCCGCCTTAAAAAGTCCAGCCGAGGTGGCGTGATGATGCAACCTGATCAAGGAGAATTTTTGGTTACGTATAGGTGATTAAAATAATAATTCAAGAATTTTTTGCAAGTACATAAATACTATATGTGGTTAAAACAGGAGGGGTGGTAATAGGAAGAAAAAAAAAATCGTTTATAAACTTATGTGGGTACATTGTTAAAATATGTTAATATGACTACATTATTTTTATACTGATATATACTGTGTACAAAATATCCCTGGGGATCTAAATGATCTATTTAAAATGGACGATGATCTAGGTGGACCACGAATTAAGATATATCTTAATATAACTGAGTATTCGTAAGGTGGGCTATCATCAAAAAATCGGTAAATTTGCTTAAAAAAATATTAATGGGATTCGATACCGACCGTATTTCGGCTAAAACATACCAATCTTTTGTCCATTAGTCCGACGAACCTAGTGATGCGATAAGACTAAAAAAATTGATTTGAATTCGTTGTTATGTCTACTTGAGAACGGCTACGCCACTTTTTGAAATTTCAGCCACTAATCTTTTATATATGGATTTAAAAAAATGTAAGTTTTGATTACACGGAATTAAAATTGTAATTTCGAAAAAGTGGCATGATTGGTCTCAAGTAGAAATAATAAAGAATTTAAATTGGTTTTTAAAAGTCGCATTTCTAGGTTTGTTGGACTAATGGACAAAAGATTAGTATGTTTTAATCGAAAAAACGGTCGATTTAATTTTGCTTGCACGCGCGACTTTGTAAACGGCGATATGTGCATAAGTGTTAAATAAATAGTAAAAAGGATCGTAATTAATAGATAAATCATAATTTTAAATCAAGATGATATATGTATTAATCTATTTCATTTTAAACGATAATCGTGCTATTATCTCTAGCCGTGTTATCAGACGAGATGATAGGCGCTTTTTTTTTATTAGTGATACCGTGAATGTGTTTGACAATAATTTATCACTGATAACAACAAGTACACAAAACACACGTGTAAACTGTGAATCTAAAATTCAAAATATTACTGGAGTGAAACGAAAACTTTATGCTTTTGAAAATATAAAAAACAGCTATTATCATGAATATATCCATAAACCTAGCATCAGAGAAGACTAGGCATAGCGTTTTGAAACCAAATACAAATCCACCAATAATATTTACACCAGGTGAAAAAATTAGAGATGAAACAGGATTTATGAGGTAAACATTATACGCAGTGCGGTTCATAAGCACATTATCAATTTTCACAAATAATATTTAATAATTTGTTTCATACCTATTGTTTAGCATTATTTATTTTTAATCTGGTTGATAATAAATGAATACTATTGTAGCCCAGATAATGCAAAAATAATAATTATATTTATTTCTGATAGCTGTCCCGCGCCCTATGTTTCCAGTGCCAATTTTTTATTGTTCTTACCTTTATTCCCGTTTTGCTTTTCCCGTATCACTGAACAAAAAAATATGAAAAGTAAGTAGTTCGCCTTTGGATAACTAAAATTGTTCTAATGTCATACATTTTTTCATCCGTGTTGTCATAAATATGCCCGGATTAAGGAGGGGCCCACAAAGACCATATTATGCTACATTGTACTATAGTATTACTTTTATTGACTCATATTATAAGTTAAATCAAATATTTGAGAACTTTTTTTTCTGCTTATTTGTTCCATTTTAATAGGGCTCCTTACTAATATGCCTTCCTCCCATAACACTTAATCCGAGCCTAATCATAGATACCCGCACATCACAAAAATTAAACTATGTATGTACTATAATAAGTAATAACTCAAAAATTATGAGGACATAATAGTACTGTAGTGTTGTTACCATACCAAAATTCAAAGATTCAAATATGAAATTTTACAAATGTTCACTTTTCAATTACCCACCCAGTACAGCGCATAATTTTTTGTTTTTTTTTCTTCTATCCATGTTGCTATGGTATCTCATCCTATTTCAAGCCAATAATAGACTAACAGACAGTTAAGTAGACTCTTTATTTTAAGTTGTTATAGTTTTTATAACATTTTAATTTGTTTTCATTTCATCCGTGTTACTAAGGTAATCCTTAATTCAACAAAAATAATCCAATTTTCGTACCTACCAAAAATACCTAAAAACCTTTCAATTCCTTCAAGTTTTATTCACGTGAAAAAAATATCTATGTTTTTCTCCAAGGCTCCATTTATCTCTATACCAAAATTCGTCAAAATTGGTTTAGCGTTATAGCCGTGAAAATGTAACAGACAGCCTTACTTTTATATTTATAATATTAGTTAGGATTAACTAACTTATGTAATGCTTTTACTTGTCATCTATCTTCAAAAAATGCGTAATATTTTCACTGAGCTATTATTTTATGTAATTATATTATTGTCTATAATAGAGGACATGGAACTTATGTATCGGCGGGCTCGTTGAAGGCGACTGTGGCTGGAGTGGAACAAAATATTAATAAACTGGTTACTGTTAGTCCTTTACGTTGTCGATATAATGGAGAGATTGGTGATGTAGTAATAGGCCGTGTTACAGAATTGGTTCATAAACGTTGGAAAATAGATATAAATGCTCGACTAGATGCTGTGCTATTACTAACATCTATTCAGCTACCTGGTGGAGAATTGGTAATTTAAAATTAAATGTTTTATCAATATTTTATAGTAATATTATCAATTAAAATAATTATATACATATGTATTATAGAGAAGAAGAGGTATGGAAGATGAACAATCAATGCGAAGTTATCTGTGCGAAGGTGACTTAATTAGTGCTGAAGTACATTCTGTGTTTGCTGATGGTTCTTTGTCATTACACATGCGAAGTTTAAAATATGGAAAAGTCAATACTAGCTACATAATATTAAAAGTTATAATAAAATATATATTTAATTAATTTTTGTCAAACAGTTAGGTCAAGGTGTACTAGTAAAAGTTCAGTCCAATCTAATAAAACGTAGTAAAAATCATTTTCATAGCTTGTCAGCTGGAGTAAGTGTCATACTTGGGAATAATGGTTATATTTGGATTGAGCCTACAAATAACAACAAAGATCCTATTGGATTTGAAGTTGATCTTCAACAAGTATATACCTAAATATTATTTTATTATATATTGTGTGCAACTGAATGTTCTACACTGTATTAAAATTACTAATATTATTTTGTGTGCATTTAGGTAGTTGATATTGGTGATAGACAAACAATATCAAGAGTGCGTAACATCATATTTGCACTGTCTTACTATAAGATGCTTATTTATGATACAAGTATACAGTATGCCTTAGAAGAATCAAATAAATATACTGTAAGTATTAAAATATGGTTAGAAATTATTTATGAAAAATAATTTTGTTTTAAACAGATTAAATTACTAAACAAAAAATACCATTTATTTTGACAATAACAATTATTTGCTATAGAATGATGGTTTCTAAACTATTACCAATTTATTCCCCAATTTGAAGAAGACTAAAAATAAATATTATAGAAATAATCATATTAGAATTTATAACTAAATTAACATTTTGTTGTTATTAGAGTTTCATTATTGAACAAAAGACAGCGTTGTTGAAGTCTAAAAACCGTCTATTTTGTGAGCATTGTGTCTAATTTAATAGTATATTTGCTATTTAATATTTCAGTACTATTGATTTATCAGTTTAAATTGATATACTTGAGTAAGCATTTTTACAATTGTAACTTGTTGATTTGTTGCTAATAATATCTTCTGTAGACACATGTCATAGCAGAGATTGATCTGCTTTAATTTTTGTAAAATACAGTTAGATTCTACATTGTTTTTTGTTATATTGATTTTGATTTAAATCAAGTGTTCTTTTCCTATTACTTTTTGTTGTCTAGTTGGTGCATAGAGGCAAATTTTTGATATTTTTATTTTATAGATTTTTAAGTTTAAATTTGTGATATGTAAATGCAAATATTTTTCTGATTTCAGCTTTTGGAAATTGTAGGCCTATTATAAAATGTGTGATTGCTATATTCTACATTTAAGTTGAATTTATTGAACTCAATCACAATCTGTAACATCATAAAGATATTTGTCTTAATTTTTACTTTTTTCAATTTATATTCAGGATGAGTTGTATACAAGTAATGATAAACTGATAGAACTGATACCGAAAAGAAAAATAAATTAAATTATGAAAAAATATCGATATTTGTAAAAAATGATTGATTTATATCAATATTTTTTTTTGCCATCCCTAGTTTTAACTGGTTTCTATGTCTTATCTCATTCCTTTCAATGAAAAATTATAGACTATAATTATAATAGGCATAAATGAAGTGTTTTTTCCAAGTGATTTTCGGTAATTTTTTTTTCAAAATGTGTGTTTTTGCATGCTTAATATGATAGTACTTTCAAACAAGGTAAATTCAGTCAAATTTTCTTTGGAACTTATGGTCAAGGAACTTCAATATGGTCTATTTTTCTAAAAATCATATTTTCAAATTTAAAATATCAAAAATAAACATTTTTAATATTTTAGATTTGGAGCGTAGCAAATGAAACGTATACCAACTGAGCTAAGCTCGTATCTGGTTTACTGAATTCCTAGATAAATATAATTATTGTATAATGTATTCAATTTCTTATACAATTGAAAAGTTGACTTCATTTTCTAAACATACAACAGTATTTATTAAATTATATTATCAATATTAGCACCAAAGTTTCCTTTATTATTTTTATTGACACATGTCTAGGTCATTTATTGTTTACTAATTGTTTTTTTATATGATTTTTATTAATTATATCATTAGTTTTATTAATTGAATTCCACATAAACTTTTTATTAGACTACATTATTTTCCAGATTATTGAATACAGTCATTAGGAAAACTTCTTCAACTAGTTAATGCTGTATTATGGGGTTTTATATACTTTCCTGTTCTCCTATATATTATTTCTATGTTATTGAGTATGAGCCTTTGTATGGATTCTATGAAAATTTGTTTAATGTATAATTTATAGATAGACATTATGATTTTATGGATGAATTTTTAATTCATAACCGGTTATACAATATACATTTTATAATACTCTAGGCGACACATTAATTGATTTATATATTAAAAATATGTTTAATATGGTTCGGTATTATAAGGATGTTATTAATGGATTTATATTGTTTCGGCCCAAATGCTTGCCACATTAATTCCTGGAGGGACAAAGAATAAACTTCTATGCTGTGTCAGAAACTAGAAACTGTTGTCAAACGCTGGTTAATTCTTCCATACTCAGGCGCAACATATATCTCATTTATTTCTATATGCTTTGTTATAATTTATTAATGTATGATTTGTTAAATCACTATTAATTTTCATATTAAGTTTGTCTCTATTTTTTATCGGCGTCACTGGTAATTTATGATTTTACCTACTATCTTTTTTTACGAGGATGATACTTTTATATTATTGTACAGCCATTTATAGTATCTAGTATATGATTATTACAAATATTAATTGCTTTAACAGTCTAACCTTATTATAATCTAATAATTCGTTTATCATACACTAAAATTCATCTATATTTCGATAATATAGATGCCTAATATTCATGTGTAATAAATTCAAGTCAAAACTGTTAGTGTTAGGAATACAATTTGACCCTGAAGTCAAATTTGTTAAAAATCAATTAATAGAAAATAAATACACTTAGGGAAAAAAATAATAAGAGAACTGTAAAGTTTTACACCAAAAAAAAAATTTTAATTTGTGTTAGATTTTTCAATGTAGATTATTTTTATGACATTTTAATAAGTCTTTTATTCTGATTAAAATACACGGTTGATATCAAACACAATGTTACTCATATATTAGTAAATCTTAGTAAATATCAGCTTTTACTACTTCCATTCTAAGTGCTTAGATCAACGGTTCCCAACCTTTTTGAAACTATTACCAATAAATCTGGTTAAATATTAACAAATACCCCCCTCCACTAAAAAAAAAATTTAAAAAAACTATTACAATTTATTATAATACACATGACCTATGTAGTCCTATGTAGACCTATGTAGGTAATTAACTCCAGGTTGGGAACTACTAACTTAGATCAATATTATTGTTTGTTTATAAAATACTATTTCATTTTTCTTTTTTTTTTTTTTTGCCCAGTATTCTGAGATGATAATTACAATTTATGTTTTTTTAATTTAAAAGTGATTTATTATCCATGGGTATTTATTTTTGTAGGTATCAGATTTATTAACTGCAGAGGCTTGCTATGATATTGCCAACATCACGCGCCACCGTTTACAAGCAATGGATGAATAATTTAGGTGAAATCATCAAAAATATGATCAGAAATGTTTCAGATCATATCAGAAGTATTTATTTTAATGATTTACCTTTTTTCTTTTTATTACTATATTAAATAAAAAAAAAAAGATATTTGAATATGAGATTAAGATATATTTTCTAAAAATCAATTGTAAAATGTAAAGAATTGGTTGACTGTATTGAATAATAGGTATACAATTTAAAAAAATCTTTGTTATACTGTATCTTTTATTGTACATGTATATTTTAATTAATTTTTTTTTGGGAGGGGTTGCCAATAACAATTTCACACGTGAGCACTCCAACATTCAATATTATTACATATGTACTGAACATCGACTGAACATCAAGTTAAAAGCTCTTATATTAGTTTCTAAATAATAATTAGTAATATCGTTAATCGGACAATAAATACTGAGAAAAAAAATATTTTTTACTTTTATAAATAAATTCTTATTGAGCATTAGGCTAATATTACAACAAAACTTTTTTTTTACATTCTCTAAAGAACCAAAAAAGTATGCATCACCTAATTATAAACAAATATATAATATTCATGTTCCCATCTGTAAGTATAATATTTCAGCTAACTTATAATTAGCCTATTTAATTAATAATATAATATGTAAAAATTAAAAAATTACTCAATTATACATTGTTAAGATTATCATTATAAATTAACAAAATCTACAAACTATTATATGATAATAATAATAATAATACATAAGTGAAAATATAAAAACAATACAATTGTGAGCGTAAAATTAATATTGATAAAAGAAAACTTATAACTTAAAGAAAATTATTTTCAGGAACTAAACGTTTTTGTTTTAGTGGTTTACAAAATTTACTTCCAATTTTTTTTAAATTAATCGACAATATACTTATTTAACTATAATAACAAATAAACCATATAAAGCTGTAAAAAATAATAACATATTATTATAATAATATTTACCTAAAAAACAAAGGTTACCAAATGTCATTTATTTAAAAATATAATTATAATATTATTGACTAGGTAACTACATTGTTTAATAAAATATTATTTACACAGTGCAACATACAATATATAATTCTTATCTTTAAAAAGAAAAGCAATATGAATTGTCTAGAAGTTTGTTAGAAAATAAAGACAATATGGTGAAAGTTTCCGTGGTACATTATGAGCACTATACACAGGAAAATTTGGTTTGCTATATAACCATATATAACACTTGTTACAGGAAATAAATTGTAATAAAAAAAGAACCATAGTACGCTGAACATTACATATAAACAATGAATATTATAAATATAAATCATATTAATAAAGTTAATTGTAAATGTTGACTGCACCAATCAGATATATAATAACACAAACAAATGTTTGATTTTATTTTGTATTTTTTCAGCACTGTGAACACTATAATGCTACAAATTATTCACAGCACCTGTATTCCCTGTCATACTGAACCATGTCAACTGATATAGTAAAATTTATATACAAAATTAAATAAATTTTACAAATTACTATAAACTACGCTCACTAATTCTTTGCTAGCCGTATACAAAATTTTATATATATGTCAGAAAAACCTAATCATTCTAAGATATTTTAGCTCCTTATCAATATTTAAATCTGTATTTTATTTCATTTGAAATACATGCATATGTATATTTCTATAATCATAATCTATTAATATGATCAAAAACATAAACTATCCAAATAATTTATTACAAAAGTATTTTAATTTATAATGAGAATCTACATTAATTTATTATTTAAAACTAACTTGACTATTTTGTCAAATGTATACTTTTTTTTTTTTTTTTTTTTTTTCTACAAATTTTCCTCGTATTGTTTCGATGCTAAAATATCTTTTGATCCAGTTTTTCTGGCACATATCCATATAAGTATAACATCTAAATTGAATAAATTTATTAATTAAAATTAAATAAATTTTCATCTAAATAAATTGGTGTTGTCAGCGTTTATCAGTCTCACTAAAACAAAATTAAATATTTAGTTTATACTGTGATGTTTTATATTAATCCCAATGTTCTGTGACTTAACAAAACGAAAGTAAAATTTACGATATAAATAATACGAATGTAAAACTATGTCTCGTATTCGATGAGCGTGCCTGATTATTGTATTACTACATGAGCGCACACTTCTCTCTTATCTTACGGCCACGCATGGATTTCTTTTCGGGTTGTAGCGATATGTTCCTATTCTTTTCCAGATTGAGCAGTTCCTGAAACAGCTCCTTGACATTATGGTTGGTCTTGGCTGATGTTTCCATGAAATGACAGCCCCATCGTCGAGCCTCAGCATTACCCTCTTCAGCTGACACTTCCCGAGTGTCATTTTCATCACATTTGTTACCCACCAACATGATTGGTATCGAAGGCAGCTCAGAAGCGCCTTTTGTTTCTTCGATTACCTGCCAACATTTTAATATATTTAATATATATCATATAATTTATACATAGTATTTAATAAAAAAACTTAAAACAATGAAATATTTTTTTCTTAAAAACAGTTTTGTAAATAGTTAAAAATACTCCAAAGTTTTACAGGCTTTTATTAATTAAAAATTTAATAATAAATAACTATACACAGATATTAAAATGGTTTCACCAATATAAAAAACATAATATAGGTATTATATAAAAGGCCAAATCCGTTTGTCTGCATGTAATGTTTTTTCTCCTAGACTTTGAATGTAAATTATTGTATTTAGGTTGAAATTGAAGTTTAAACATAATAACATTTAATGAGGTGAATATTTTCTAAGACTGCACGTAAACTGTATCTAAAAAAAAGTAACAAAAATGTTAGTTTTAGCATTTTTTAAATTGCTTTAAATTTTATTACTTATGAATAAACTGCAATTTTAAAATTTCACCATTTGTGTTTTAATAACATAGTTTTGCTATATTGTGTATTAGTAAGGTGATAAAACTCAAGGGTATAATATCTAATTAACCAAAAACTTGTCATATGAGTGCAATTGACATTAAATTATTTAATCTTTAAGTTATTTAATCTTTAATCTATCTATAAATCTGAGCCCATCTTTTGTACATATTAATGATTATTTCAATGTTGATAATGAAATAAAACTTAAGTTAAAATGTTTAGTTTCATTAAAATGTATTTGTAAAAAAAGTTTTCGCCATTAAGATTTGTAGCATTTGAATTTAATACTAATCATTTTAAAAATTTCAATGACTGTCATAACCTTTCATGCATGATGGGGATATAATTATAGTACTTTAAAAATTGTATGTAACAATAAATAAATAGTTCCTTTACTTGTTATTCCTACTATCGGAGCTATATCAAAATCATAATATGTTATATGAAATGTTGCACATGAACTATAGGCTTCCATAGTTACCTACTTAAATCTATAAATTAAAACGTAACTTTAAATTAAATCCCTTGTACTAGATGACAGTTTGTTTTTTTCTAATTGAAATTTACATATTTGATGTGACAATCGGTGATATCCTCTAATCATAATGATAATAGGAATGGATTGATTCATACCATATAAATAAAAGTTACTTTTTTATGTTATAAATCAGGTTTTTATTAATATATACAAAATAATGTATACATTACCTATTTACTAGGTAGGTATTCACATGATAATGTACTGGTATTATAAATTTTATATTCCAAGCGTAGCGATGGAGCTATTGGTTTTACTAAGATGTTTATTTTTTTTTTATTTCTTCTAGTCTATGGACACGTTTTTCCTAGTAAACTTACTCCGACTTTTACGCGTAGCACTTTTTCTAAAAGATCAATTTATCGAAATTGTATTCTAGAGAGGTCATTTTTTGATTTTCGACGCCATTTTTGAAATAAAAGCACTCAAGTGGGAAAAAAACGTAGGAAAACTTACAATTTCACGATTTCATTATTTTGTAAAAACACGGATGACGTTTTCTACAGGAAAAATGATTTCATCGAAAAATCACAAGACACCTTTTTTGTTGCCTTTTGATTTACTTTCTAACGGTATCATGGCCAAAACTTTTGAGCCACTTTTGAGCTTATAAATACACGTAGAGACTTGAAACTTGGTAATAATACTTATATTGGACTTATCTAGATGTGGTCAAATTTCCCAAATCATCGGACTTTCTTTTTTGACCTCTCTAAGATACCTCCCCACACTAATTTCCTTTCAGAAAAGTTGTTACACGTAAAAATCGGAGTAAGTCCTTTGATAGAAATGTTGTCCACAGAAAAAATCTTTGTAAAATCTAAGTTTCTTCGCTCCATTTAGAATCTAAAATTAAATTTTACTAATCATTTTTGTGGTAGAAAATTGTATTTAGAAATTAAATCCGTTAGAGAGGGAACTATTAAACCTCTATTACTTTTGTGTTTTTATGTATTTGTTAAATGATTTTATCAAGGCTTTTTGAAGTTTTCAATCACTTTTTTGTAGATTTTAAGAACGTAAAAATCCGGCCTCTGGTTATGAATCAGCAGGAGACTATTATTTATTATAAATTGAAACGTTTCTGTTAAATTAAGTATTTAAATGTAACAGAAAACGTATTGATATTAAATTTATCGTGAACACAAATATTAGGGAATAGGTACTGCTAATTTCATTTGTTTATTAAGTACCTAGGTACCTCATTTAAACATTTGTTTGTGTGTAGACTGTTTCAACTAGAAAACTTGCATTAAACAAAAAATGGTAGGTCTCTACGAGGTATTTTGGATATTGTCAGTGTGTCGATCAAGTAGGTGTAACCATTGATAATATGGCTATTTTCTTAAATTCATTTTTTTAAATTTTATGCGTTATTCGAGTAGAAGAGATTTAGGTACCTGTTATAATTTCCAAAATATTTTAGTTCTTATTTTTAGTTATTTAAAACTGTTTGAAATTTTCGATTTGTTCAACTTAAAGTACCGATAAAGAAAAACTATATATGTAATAAGGAGGTAGGTGATAATATTTTTATCTTGGTAAAAACCTCATTAAACATACAACAACCATAACAGTATTAAACCTACCTAATCTAACCTACATCGGCTGTATCGTCTATAATCTAGTGTTATAGACGATATAGCCATATAGGTATGCGTATGAGTATTTTTTGTTGTTACTTTTTAATGGAAATAACTTTGTCGGGCGAACGTATAGATATAATATAGTACGTCTAGATAGTATACCTGCAGAATACCTATACCTACGGCCCATCTACCCAACGTTCGTCCATTAATATTGGTAGACGACTTTCGGGCAAGTAAACACAAAAGTACAAAACGTATAGAAGTTTCCTTACCTACCTTGAATAACAAATTGTGCAAACAACATTTTGCCCCGGCGGTATTATTTTTCCTGCGGGGGCGAAAAATAAATGGAACCGAAAACTTTCGTCTCCCGCGCGCCGTTTTGCTCACGGCCATGGTTCCGCTAATATAATCGATAAACACACCCGGTTTACTGCGTAACGTGAACAATGTTTGCAGTATCCTATAGGTACCCATTTGATAGAACTTGTATATATAATCGCATGGCATACGGAGTAAAATCGAACTTTAGCGGCATTGTACCGGACCGATCTCCGTGTAAAACTTATAAAACTTCCACATCCCGACGACGTCGCGATAATATTTCGGCACGTGGCCAACCGTATTTATTATACGCACAACGTATATATAAACACGCACCTATTTGCACACACGACCCGAAAACTACGGACGGCGAGGCAAAACAACGTTTAGAGGAAATCCGTTAAACATAATTTATTATTATTACGTTATACCATGTTTTGCTATCAAAACCCAATGGGTCGACTTAGAAATAATGTAGCGTAACGTTATACGGAATGGGGGGAGGGGGGAAAGGGAATTGCATCTCTGTCGGCGTGTAATAATTCAATTTCCGAAGTAAGTAACTCTGCAATAAGTACCTGCTCATATTGCGGCGGGTTGGGGAATTGTTTGGAGCAATTACAATTGCTTCGTGGCCAAAACGCGGATGGGTCACGTGTGCGTAAAGAAAAAGAAATCCGAGGAAAATCATTTTCGTATAATGTATATTATATCTATGTATTATTTATAGGCTTTATGCGATTACCTTTTTTTTTTTACCGAGACTGATTGCAGTTACGCAATTGGTTGAACTTTGTGAGCTTTTTACGGTTCATTTGTCAATGACCCGATTTACTGATGTACGAAAATTTGTGGATACCTACAGTAGCGTATACATAACTTTTGTATGGGGGGGGGGTTTCAAACAAATTATTACGGAAGGAAAATGTCTAAACCTAAGTACCTGTACATTAAAATAATAAAACACATGTTTAATACATTTTATTTCAAAATTCTACAAATAATTATAATACAAAATTTAAATTTCTTTTTTTTTTTTTAGTCAATTCATCAATTACTTCTACAGCAGTGATAGGAATTACCACGGCCGGTCGGTTAAATTGTATTCTTAGTTATTAATAAATTAATTTTAATCCTTACCGTTTTTTTATTTTTTTACCATTCTATAAAACGGTCTTACAAAGGACACTATTTTATATATTTTAAAATAATTCCTATGGGGGGGATGGATCTGACCCCCTTGTATATAAATAATATACACAGAAACACAGGTGACTACATTTACCATATAAAGTTATTATTTAATAAATCACCTTTTGCAAAAGAAATAAAGCTTAACCCTACTGATTCTACTCGTACTATTCAACTTCCTATTTAATTATTAACGCCCTCCTAGATAATCTATAGCCACCCACCCACCTATTAAAATGAAAAACCTATGTGTTATCAAACTTATAGAACTACCTTTGTGCGGCCATTGCAGGTGTCTCTAGCCTAAATAATATTTTTATCAATTATATTTTATTTTTATCAAAAAATATTCTATGGATTCTTACTACATTATCATTATGAGTCAGCAACTGTTAATTCTCAATTCTACATATTAATTACCTACCTACTTTCTTATTTTTTTTTATTTTGTATTATAATTTACTATAATTAAATCTATGTAAATATGATTCTAATACATAATATAGGTACCTACCTATATACGAATAATGATTACGTTTGTTATGTTATATTATTTAGATAACCCACTAAATTAATTCATTACTTATTCAATAACTTGATGTTTGTAGTTATTATTAGTGATTAGTGTTACCTATAAATAAAATTCAAAATTACCTATCTATTTGTAAATAATTTTGCTAAGCTTTTCTTAGCAAATATTATCGGCTCTACAGTCATTAATGTAGAGCCTTGACAGTTTGAACGGGATTTAAACAATTTTTTAGGAACAATACGTCATTATTTTTGTATTTGATTTAAATAACCAGTCTATTACCCATTAGACTCATTATAAAATTCACTTTTTACAAAATTCTGTAGCGGAACAAAACTCTGTCTCCGGGTATATTATATGATTACACGATAGGAGTGGTCGACAGTGGTAATATTACTGTACAGTAAAATATATAATATTAAGATTAGGTTTGTTATATTATTGAATAAGGTTCAGTATTTTTTCGTTAAAAAAGTGTTTGGATACATACAGGCACTTACTGGACCGCGAGGGTATCGGGAATTTCCCGGTGGGGCCTTCTCAACGGAGTCAATAAATTGCGTCCCCCAAAAAAGGCCTTAGTCATATACTATGTAAATTGAAGCCCAGGTGTATTTTGTATAATGTAATATGCCTAAATATTTTTTTATTAATATGTAAATATTATGTCTAATCAATATTTTCCTTCCATTTTTCAGACTGAAGACTGGCCGTATAATATTGTATTAATATTTTAGCAAATTTTTAAAACGAAATTTGAATTCATCAATCACTTTCAACGTTTTATTCTTTTCGCTATTCATAACGTTCGTTTTTAATAAATTAAAAAAAAAAAATAAATTATCTTACACTTTTTTACCATTTTCTTATTTTAATAATACATTTTTTTTAATTATAAACAAAAAAAGCAAAACCAATATTTTTAATTATACCAATATTAATATAAAATTCTGTTTCCAGTCCTAAGTCTGAAAAGTGGGAAAGTATTGGTTTTAAAAAAACAGTCTTGGACGTAATTTATACGTATGAATAAAAAATATTTAGTGATATACCTATACAAAATATACCCGGGTCGCGATTTACCCATTCTCATATACACCCTTAATTTATACACGTTTTAGTCTTACTACTATTTCTTTAAATTACCTATTGTAGCTTTGTGATTTCTTGGGTAAGTAGTAAAGTAGGCTGGTACTTGAAGAATTTGTATGATTTATGTTTATAAGTGGGTCCTATTATTTAATGATTTCTCGGTACAAAAATAGAACCCGCTACACGCCTGGGTGTATAGGTAATATTTTAAAAGTATAGTGGTTTTTCTCGAAAAATAAAAACAGCCTTGAGTTCTTGATAATTCGGGAAAGCGAATTATTTTCTCATTTTTGACGGTGTTTAATGTATATGGAAAAAAGAAGAAAAAAATACTACTCGTTTATTTTTTTTTTTTATTTTTACTCCTTTTACATATAATATAGGTACCGCAGTAAATACCAGGGGGGGGGTCGGATGGTGTTGCAGCAGGTCTGTGTACGACGGAAGAAAACCTCCAGAGTCATTAATCATTTTAATATTAAAGATTGCGTAATGCGTTGCAAATGACAACATAATATTGTAGGTGGATAACTACGGTATGATATGATGTAGCGTCGGCCGTATTGGACAATATTGTGTGACGTATACTTTGTATAGGTATTACTGATAACCTAACCTGTATAATATCTAACGGCATAGTGGAATAATATGTTATTGGGTATAAAACATTAATTTTAACGTCTGTGTTCGCGTATCGATGTGCCTTTTTCGAAATTAAAATCACCACTAAATCGGTAATATTCATAGCGGAATTCGTATAAAGTCGTAGCAGCCAGTCTGCTGGCTAAAGGGCGTGGCAATAATAATAATAATAATAATAATATAACCTAGCGACGACGACGACGGTCCCGTACATAGTACGACGCGTAAAACAGAAATACAAAATTATAATACGCACGAAAAGAAACGCGATTATAAATCGTTAAATAATATTGTTAATAATTTTAATTAAAATAAAAAAGTCATGTTCAACACAAATATTTAAATTTGGGTACCTATATAGTTGTTTTTGACGATAAAATATTATTTTCGAAATATTTCTTTAAACACCGTGGTGTCGGATATCAGGGAAGGAGGTGATTAGTGAATTCCCCCCTTCTTGGGATTATTTTCACCATTATATATTATTATTTACTATTTATTAATACTTCAGAATTTATGTAGGTGTATAGGAAATTTGGAAATTTACGACACCCCCCTGAATGTTTTCCAAAATACTAATTCATCTGGCAAAACAAAAATGTTTTAATCATACTTGTAATTTATTTTAAACTACAAATCACTGACACTCCTAAGTATGTAAAAATGATATGAAACATTTTTTTTTTTTATTTCTTGTAAACGTTTGGACTCAATTAGTATATAACCTGCCGAAAGCCGGGACCCAACTAGCATATAGTACCCGGAATTCGTTGCGGTCCAACTAGTATACCACCCATCAAAACCACTTGAATTTGGGACATAATTTGGACGCAGCCGTTTTATCAGTGGATCGAAGTGATTAGATTTGTATTGCTAGAGAAAGGTGTTTTTTTTAGCTTTGGCCTATAGATCTCCCAAATAAATCTATTGAGATAAATTTCCGGTGCAGCACGATTAAGCATTTTTCCCTGTTCGGTATTGAAAATCCACACACAATTTGGACATTTGATATCCCTAAAAAGATACCACGTTTGGGAATTAAAATGAAAATAAAATGTGTAATATATATTATTATAAAAAGTAGTGAATTTCTCGGTTTAGAAAATACTAAACAAAACTTCTAGATTTTACTAAAAAATAACATAAGCTTAAATGAAATTAACTTCCTTCATCCTATATAAATTATTATTTTTCTTAATAATTCACTATTAACTAATTTTTTTATGATAGTGTTCGCCCCCATCCCTGCTTTAGCTATAAATGCTAGTCAAAAAAAATGAGGCCAACAAAAAATTGAATTTTCCGATACATATTTCAGAGCTAATCCTGTACGTATATACAAATATTTATTACCGGTAATGAGTATAGACTATAGACCATAGCTCAAACGTGTAGCTCAAATTTCATGCTTTCACATGAAATATCGAGTTTTAAATTGCCCATACAGACTAAAATGTAATAAAACTTTCATAGCAATGACAACTATAACTATTTCAGATCAATTAAACTAAATTATATAAAAATTTAAAAAAAAAAATGTTATTACGAAGACAAATTGGTTGGGGGAGTCCGACTCTAATGACAGTTCTACTGCTCAAGGGTGGTTTTTTTTTTTTGTTGTTGTCTGATACTTTTTTTAGAAAACTGCTTAGAAGACCTTTCAATCGGAGAGGGAAAACTAACTGTACGGTTGCGGATCTAGAAAAAAAAAACTTATCGACGTTTAAAAATCATCCGGAGCCTTCGCAGAATCCCGAAATGACGCGGTCGCGCCCGGAAAATTACCGGTGTATTATTATACAACACAAACGAGACTAAATAACGATCGCGATAACAATAAACGTCAAAATACAGGACGAGACGGTAATTCGCATAAAACTTTGGCGTTTCCTGTCTACGTATTATAGTGTTATTGTACACACAATGCGCATTATTATTTTTATTGCACGGTCGTCGGTCATATTATTATGGCACGAGGGTTTATGAACGGCCACAGACGGTGAATTCGTATAACGCAATTGATTAGTGCAAATCGCGTTACCTGTATTTTAGCGATATTGTGTTCGGTTAGGTTGGGCAAGTGTATCGCGATGATTATTTTTATTAGCGCCGGGAATGTAACTAGAGTCACGTAAAACATCAAAAATGTATATGATTTTATGCCATAGACAAAATGCCCTTATTAATGCGCCGTAAATAAAATTTCTCCCTATCGTTCCGAAAATAAAAACATGTAATGAATTTATAACAAAACGAACCACTCGTTATCTGGGATTTAATGTTACCATAGTACTATAAAAATGGCCGATAATCTAATTCGAAATATTTTGGTTGAACCCATATAAATCTTAGCGTGTTAAAATTTTAAATTATACATTTCGAATTTTGCATCCCAAAATCCTGAAATGCACTAAAAAATTAAGAAAATGACTTAATAATCAAAAATTTCACGAGCGGAATTTATTACAAATCGAGCATAGCACAGCAAGTTTTGAAAAACAATACCAAGGACATTGAAATTACAGCTTTACAGCTTTGGTTATTATTAACTACATCATCACAAATAACATTAAAAAAGATTTAACAGCAATATGCCCACAAAAAAATAAACATTTAATTATTCAGTGCTAGAAATTTACCATATTCATAATGAAATAAAAAGCAATAATTTTAATAACTTATTAAATGTTCTAGCAGATTTTAAAAATTGCATTTTATTTTCTTATCTACATAAACTTGAAGGTGATAATAATAGTAATAACATTATTTAATTAAATTTCTCTCCTATAATTGTTTTATCATGAACACTTATATGATATTATACCGGCATAGTTTATTATTGTTTTAAAAATCACATTGTTCTTTTTTTAAGTTGTATTATGTAAACTATTTAATTACATTGTTAATCAGCAACCTGATGGTGGCGTAAGCCGAAACTTAGTAGTTGTAAAATAAAACTAATTTATACACTTTATGTCGGTTTATTTTAAACAACATTTTATATATATAAAATTAGGTACACATTCAAGAAAAATAAACATTAATCTGGTAGGTAATAACTCAATTTCATTAGAAATTGGAGATGTCTCCTTTCTACAATTAATGATGCATACTCTATACATATAATAATATAAAACAATATATTTTATACTAGTAATAGTTTTACCAATAATAAATTGTTTTAATATAAAAAATGTATGTAAACTTTACAAAAGAATTACGAAAAAAGGATTTCGAGGGGGAGAGGAGGACACATAACCCTAGTGTATCCCTGTCTACGGCACTTATATAGCTGATTTCTGTTTATAGATACTTGCATCGTTTTAAGATATACGTGTTCGCATTTTTCGTTCGCAATGGTTTTATCATTATATACAGTACATAAACTTATTAATAAACGTTAACGATTTTCTTCAAACTTTATTTATCGACGAAATTCTATTAAATACCTCAGGTCTGCAATTTCAACAAGAAGAGCTTAATTAAATTCTGGCAGCCGCCTACGCATTAAAATATAGCAAAATGCAGAGTAGGTGCATATATTATATTATATTATCTATTTTTAGATTCTGAGAAAACAGAGAAAACCGTAAGAAAAACGGGAAAATCGGCACAATATTAAACAACTATTATTAAAAAGAAATACATAATGCCTATTTAATTATTTTATCATAATACGACATATATGTTGTTAACAAAGCATCGCTATCAACTGAACTGCGTTCAGAATCATTTTTTCGTTAGTAATGGTTTATCGTTGCTTACAGATATACATTAAATTACCTATAACAATGACTGCGCCCGTCTCCATTATCTTGGGACGTCTTTTTTTTTTTAATATTTTCCTCTTTTATTCTTTTAGATTCAAAGTGTATTTTTTTTTGTTTGTATACAAACTATGCATGTAAATCATTGTACCTGTAGACCTATAGAGTTGAAATAAAAACTACGTGTAAAAGTTGTTCCAACAGTTATACGCGACTTAATGGACACTTTAAGACATAAAAACAAACAACACATTATTTCAAATGCCGAGTGGAAGTGTTTATAAAGTAAGACATTAAGAAGTCCTATTTTTCAAGACAAAATAATTTTTTTTGCAATAATTAATGCGTTTTAAATAGGTATTATAAGTGTTTCTACTCTAAAACCGAGTAAAACTTACCCAGTAAATGTCGCATTGATGAAAAAACTTTAATTGTTTTCTCTATACTAATGCGCTTTCGTTTGTTGGTTTCTTTTTGTCTTCTAGTTAATTGTTTCTAAACGAAAACTACATATTATAATTTATTAGCCAAGAGCTTATAAACCATATCTCACTGAAAAAAAAATCTACTACCTATAATACGACATATAAATATAAAGTTCGATGAAATATAAAGGACATAATTTAGATATATTTTCAGATATTTGCTTAAATCTCGGGCACTAGATGTTTGGTAGTTACAGTATTTTCTTTTTGATTTACTTAGATGATAGACGTGCTGTGTTTATAGATAAGCTGAAAACGAAATGTATTTAATTAAATGTTAACCCATGAGGATGCTCAATTTTTCATTAAATAACCAATAAACCAAACCAACCGTCAACCACTACTAACCGCGATATTACTTATTAGTTATCACTGCCTGGCGGTTTTATCGTAATTGTGATTTGTAAACTCTAAAATGTTATTTATCTCATTTAAACCAACTATTTATCTATAGTTGAGTGACGTTACTATATTAGGTATTGTATAATTTCATTATAAAAAGGTTTACGAGAATTTTTTTTTTTTTTTGGCGGTTATCTATTTTTTAAATGATATATTATAATATAATAATGTAGTAAAAAAATATAGGGAAAAACGCTGTTACTTTTAATATTATTTTCGATACTAAATAAAAATGTACGTCCCCGAAGAAAGAGAGAGGGAGAAAAAATTGAATAATAAATTTATCCTCGTTCGGCATCAGTCCCGCCGGGACACACGTCGCTACACGGTTAATGCCCATGTCACGTATATAGAACCGAAATAATACGATTTTCTCGACGTTTCCCGGTACCGCACCACGCGTTAGTCTATATTGTGTACATGCAAATATATAATGTAAGCAAATATAAGTACTCGTATATATAATACGGCCGTTTCAAAAACCAGCTGTATACCAAAGTTCAAGTTCAATTCATCCGTTTCGGGGTGCACATTTTTTAATTCAATTGTAAACTAATTGTTTGTAAGCCTCGTGTTCAACGATATACGGTAACGCACCAAATAGCTAATGTAGAAGAAAAACCGTGGAAATAAGATAAATGACCAAAGTACGTTACATAACAAGTTATGAGAAGGTGAAAGGACAAAGAATCAGAAGAAGAAACTAATGGACGTAGAGCATTGATTTAATGGTAAACAACATAAAGAAGGCTCAGATGCAGGCCAAAGAAGACCGATAAATGGATTGAGTATGACAATATCTGAAGAGACTGAACGTAATTGATTTGGACGGAGAGGATACGGGATCATGATTGTTAGAGGTAGGTGATAACGGCAGTCAAAACTCTTTATAGAGCTGTGTGGCTACACGGTGATGTATTGTGAATTCCAAAAAAATAAAAATAAAATAGATATATTTTTAACATTATTGGGAGAGAACAGATATTGAGATTTGAGATGATGGTGGACACGAGAGAAGGAGAAACACTATGGCATAGCCGAGGCTTGAAAATACATAGATAGAGTTAAGAGTGATACGATACAGACGAATGCCAGTGAAGCTGAGGTTAGCCGAACAAAAAGGTGACTGAAAATTATCTGAGGGGATATTCTTATAGTAACGAGATCATTCAATCGAGTAAATTGAGCGGACAAGAAATTATTCACCATACCCCGGACACTATAGAGAAGAAAATCGTACGTCGTCACACGTAAACATATATATTAGTCTTCTTTAAAAGCAGTAGGTAGGTTCTTTTCCTCAGTTTTTCACGAAAAAAAAAAAAAAAATTCCACCTAATAATGTGAAAATATATATAGCCTCGTGCATGATGCTCGATGCGAAAATTTCTTTCGTACATATATATATATACCGAATATTATTTCCCCCGGGCATACCTCGCGAAAATATATATACTCGCATAAAACGTTCGCCCGGAGCGAAACGAATGCCTCGCGCGCGTTACCCATAGAAACCGGAACTCCCGGTATTCCGTTTTAAAATTAATCGGTTGCCCGCCTGGCATATCATATATAAATGTATAGTAATAATAATAATCTAAACGATTTTTGAAACGACCGTCGACGTTTTTCTAGCGCGTTTCGTTATTAATTGAACGGACCGACGCGGCCACGGCCGCGGCGAACATACAGCGTGATTCATTAAGCACGCTCACGCAATTTTTATCGTTAAATTTTTAATTTTTCATAATCAAATGTTCTGATTATTATAGCATTTTTAAGTGCGCTTAACAAGCCGATAGTTTCGAATACTCAGATTTTTCACAACATTATTAAGAAATAATTTCTGAAACTGTTGACGTATCAAAATCGAAATTTCAAAAATAATTTTAAGTTATCCGGTTTAAAATACCAAAGATAATAGTCTAACAATCAAAATTTCTGTAGAGCAGTACGGTGAGCAGCATTTTCATAATTCATCACCACTCTAACCCTACCCAAACTCAAAAGTGAAATTAATCGTCAACGGGTGGACGAAATCAAAAATCTCAATACAAAAATGTATTTTAACTAATATTCCATCTATATATGGAATTTTTCAGTATATAAGGTTCTTATTTGAAAAACAAAAGTTAATATCGCCACAGGATACTCCTTAAATTCTGTGAAAAACCTAAGTGTTCGAAAATATCAACTTTAACTACGCTTAAAAAAATTTAAATCCGAAAATCAGCATTATAACATTATAATACACTAGGTTAGTGGCGTAGCCAGAATTTTTAAATGGGGGGGATCGGGGGGGGGGCAAAGCTAAAAATGTTTGAAAATCAATTTAAAATGAGTTATCATTAAACATAGATATATTAAGAAATATAAATTATTTTTCTTTATTTCATATTTTATATGTAATTCTTCTAAAATTGAATTAATGTAAATGTTATTTTGGGTATTTAATATTTTTAAGTCTGTATTAATATCAAAATTTATATTATGGTTATTTTCTAAAACATGTTTAGCAAAATTTGAATTAAGGGCAGTCTTTTTGAATTTTATTTCAGAAATGTTTTCTTTATATCTTATTTTAAAATTTCTATTTGTCTTACCAACATAAAATTAATTACAATTACATTTAAGTTTATATATACCAGCATTTTATAAGAATAAATCAAATAATAGGGATATTTTGTTTGGAGTTTTTAGTTCTATTGTTTATAGGTTTGATTAAATTATTATTAGTATTAAAATCGATTTTTACATTATTTGTATTCTTCTTCAGAATTTTAACGGATTCGTTGGACATATTATTTTTGTAATTCATACTATAATAGTTAATAACATCATTTAGGTGATTTATTTTTTCTTTAATACGTTTATGCATTTTTTTTAATATTATTTAAATTGAAATTATTTCTATGGGCTAATTATAGATAACATTGAGCTTGTATTGATAATTATGTTTATTTAATGGAATTCGTCCAAGCCTATAGAATATTGAATTAAAAAATGATATTTTTGAGAATAAGAGTGATTAGAATCATGTGATATTATAGAATCAGTTTGTGTAGGTTCACTGTAAATACTAAAATCAAATTTATTTTTTATTATGGAAATTGTAAGATCTAAGAAATTAAATTGATTACGTTTTTATTTATTTTGTTTAAGTAGTTAACTAAATTTTCTGCTTGTCTATTTGAACCTCTAAATAAAATTAAAGTGACATCAATATATCTACAGTGTGATTTTATTTATGAACTGTATATTTTGTTGTTGACAACATCATTAGTTTCATAGTTTTGCATATAAATTTCAGATAAAAGAGCACTTAAAGGTCCACCCACAACTAACCCTTCTTTTTGCGAACATAATTTATTATTACATATATTGGAAATAGTTTTTTTTTTTTTAAAAACAGTAACCGGGTGATTTGTTTTTACCTTACTATCCGGTGGTTATATATATATATACATATATATGTACGAATAAGATTTAAATGAAATTGATTTTCGTTTTTTTTTTTTTTGTTTTAGTCATTTAAGAATCGTTCGGTATAATGATTCAATTTACAATATTATTAAACATTTTACGTATTCCGTGTACGCCGGCATACAAACAATCACGTATCAACTTTTGATTTTCAAATATAGCGACCCCTCCGGCTCGCTTTTAAAAACACATTCAAAACAGGAACGGATTATAAATGGCCTGGTTGAGGCTAAAACTGACCCTGTGCACGTCTATTGGAAAACTGAAATGACGCCACTGAATCACGAGCTTATTTAAATTTCCATTAAGTATTTTTAGTTTTTTTTTATATATATATATTCATGATGTACAAATTGTACCGACCTGCCATATAGGCCGGAGCTCCTCTAGCGACTGTCTGGACGTGCACGAGTAGACCAGTATGAACGCGTGGCCCTTGGACATGGACAACCGCTGCATGGCCGGGAACTGGTGCGAGCCCGTCGTGTCGGTGATCTGAAGCGTGCATATGTTTTTGTTGCAGCTGATCACCTGACGGTACGTGTCCTCGATGGTCGGTATATACGACTCGCGGAACGTGCCCTTGACGAACCGGAGCACCAGCGAGCTCTTGCCCACGCCGCCCGCCCCGAACACCACGACACGGTAATCGTTGCTCTGTTCCGGCATGTCCTCGCCGGCGACGTAGTCGTCCGCGTCGTCGTCGTCGTCGCGGTCGTCTCAGCAACTGCTGTCGTCCACTGTCGTCCGCTACTGCGTTCCCGCTAACACCTGCGACCGAAATCAAATTTATTTTAGCCGCGCGAAATCTCTGTAGACATGAAAAGATTAAAGCCGGCCCACGACAACGGAATAACCACCCTGCGCATATTATGGATGCACGACGATGAACAGAGTTTTTCGTTTAAAATAATGAACGGACACGCACATTATCCCCTCGAAAAGTATTAACTTTTTGCCGTATTTGTTTTATAGAACATTTAAGAAACAAGCAGCACTACGATTTTACGTTTACGTTATATTTTTTCGCCCTAATTTTCGAGGGTACAACCACTACATACTATTGATTTTCAGACGGCAAATTATTTTTAAAATACCATACATATATGGAGTATTAGTCAAAATAAATTTTTGTGGTGGAATTTTTTATTTCGATCCCGTCAAACCGTTGACGAGTTGAGTAGCAGTTTCGTTGGTTTTACCCCCGAAAATAAGGGCGAAGAAAAATAACACAAATGTTATATTGTAGAGCTACTTGTTTCCGAAATGTTCTATAAAACAAACTCCGAGAAAGGCGAATACTTTTGGAGGTAATAAGTGTACACGTTTATTTGCATCAGCCGTAGACTGAACGAATCGACTTATAGAACCCCTTGTCCCAACCGACGTGGTTTTTCCATTTCTCCGTCGGTTCGATTTAAACAGGCCGTGATTTTTCATCGACTAGGTTTTAGGTTTATCAGGACACTACAATACAATTTCCTTAGAGCAAATCAAACATGATAATACTGCTATCTGCAGGTTTGTATCAACAGATAGGGCTGCAGATTTTCGACTTTGCATATGAATACACGGTTAACACGTGTAAAATTTGATCACCATTGACCCTGTACACTTATTCGTAAGCAGAGCGGTTTTCGAAATAATTAGAACCAACCAAAAAACTATCCCCGAGTCTAAATATTCGACCCTTTTGAGGCACGTCTTAGAGTTGATCAATCTTGGCCACGCATTTGTATAAATATTGGAATGAACTTTGAACGTTGCCGCATCGAATTCTGTAACTTCAAAACTAACGAAAACCCCGACGTGCGCGTGTATACAATTGTTATACGTCACATGTGACGTATAACAATTACGGTACCGCACCGCGCGCGCGTATTGTCGTTTTGTTTTTTTTTATTTTTCAATTTTCGAACAAAAAGTGACGTGGATGGGTATTGCGCGTTAAACGTTTTGCGCGCCGGTCACGCATAACAGAGACAGAAGCGCGCGAACAGATTATCGAAGAATGTTCGCGCCCACCCCCGGCCGTATCTGCGGGCGCGGCGGCGAAATGTATTGTATTATTACGGTCGGACGGTTGTTCGGAAACGTCGCCCCTATTACCGGGATTCGGCGGAATTCCCCGGCATAATGCGCAAAACGATAATACAATCCCATTGGCCCCCGCTCCGTCGTCGTCGGTAAACTTTCGCCGGCGACGCCGTCCATTGTGCCGCGTTATAATATTATCGCGTGTACCTCGTCGCACGCGTAACCTTTATGCGATTATGCGAAAAATGAATTATACGAATATATAGTTTTAGTTTTGATTGCGCGACAAGCCGCCGCCGCCGCTGTCACGGGCATCCTCCGGTTCGCGATATTTCCTCGCGCGCGTATACGCGCAAAAAAATACACCGCCGCGCGCTTGTAAACGCTCTGCGCCAAAGTTATTGCGTTTGCGGTTTTTTCACGTGCGGGTAGTAGAAGCGTACACCGGGTACTAATTGACGTTTATCTTACAGGTCCGGAAACTCCAAACGCGTATTTCGTAAAAACCGGTCATTTTTAAATAATAAAAAAAAAAAAAAAAAAAAAAATAGTAGATAGCAATGTAACGGTTTTTTTCGTTTAATGTGCGAATTTCGATGAAAATCGTAAAAACAACGTGCCGTCGAACAGATAATTGTATCCGGTAAGTGCATTGGGAAAGGTCATTTTTTTTTGTATAGATACTTTTCTTGACAATGGAGGAATACCGAAAAAATAATCACAATATTTACTGATTAACGGTGTCTGTTATTAAGTGAAATATTTATACGTATAATATTTGATTAATTTAAATCTACTGTTTTAAACTCTATAAATTAACGTTTATTTTGTTGTATTTGTTTAATGTCTTACTGACGGACGTTACGGTATTGCGTCACCGTCACTAATATTACTCGGTTAAACACGAACACTATACCGTGATATCATAATCTAAATAATATTATAATGTCGTATTTGAACACAAAAATCATTAAATTCCCTTGTAATGACGTCTGCAGTTTCCAATTTCAGATCACAATAATATACGTAAACAACTGTGAAACTGTATAATAATGACGGAATGTCATTGCTCGTTAGGACGGCCGTTAGGTTATTATATATCGTACATAATTATGGATAGATTATAATATAACGACGTATCAATAATTTATATCTACGTAAATAATTATACAATGCAAATCAAAAATATAAACAAAGACTCCAAAAAAATTATTTACTTTTAGGTATGTAAAATCAAAATATAATTTTTTACATTATTTTAGGAATATTTACATTTTTTGGTGCAATAAAAGTTCTTAAAAAAATATGTAGGTATTTTTAATAAGAGATTCTTATTGAAAAGAATCTTGATAATGACTAATTTTGTTTAAGGAACGCGAGAAAATAATTTAGCTTTGAGACAATTGCTAGAAAGAAGAGTTGACGTGAACAGAGCAACGCTAAGAGCATTTGTTGACTTGGAAAAAGCTTTTGTTAACGTAGAATGGAAACTTCCATTCAGCGCTCAAAAAAAAGTCAGAGTAAATTCAAAAGACAGACGATTAATCTTAAACTCGTATAAGGCATAAACCACTAAAATAAAAGTAAATGGAAGTAAAAAGAAAGCGATAATTCGTCAAGGAAAAAAGCAAGGTTTACTTTGTCTCCATATTTATTTAATTATTTTTATTAAACGTGTAATTAATAAGATAAAATATCACTCTAGTGGTATATCGATAAATAGGTACCAAATTAAATCCATCCATGTTGCAGATGATATCGCTCATCTAACATATAACGATAAAAAGATAAATTTGATACCACATGTATTTCATTGACTTGGCTCTAATCAGTTTCTACCAAAATATTAACTGTACAAAAACAAAAACTATGGTTATTATTTCATTACTTAGGTATTAACAATAAAATAATAAATAACACTCAGCAATGGACGGATTCAACAAGTAAATTAATTCTGTTATTTAGGTAGCTTGATAACAAATTAAAATAAAGGAAATAAGAAATAAACGAAATAAACTTTTGATAAACAAAAAAGATACTTCAATAAACATCTGAGTATAACTTCAAAAATAAGTTAATAAAACCATACATTTAGCGAATTTTATTATACAGTTCTGAAACGTAGACGATTGAAAAATGTGACAGAGATAGACAAAGTAAGTACTTAATTTGTGCTTGTATATTGGTTTTTTGTTATTTTAATTTTTAAGCTATATATGAGTGAGTGAAATATTATAATTTCAAAATTCTTATGTATTTAATTCAAAAATAAAATACAAATAACAGATTATGGTCTCACCTTTAAGTTAGATAATAGTTAAATTTACTCTAATATTAAAACTAAAACCACAACAGTGGTTCTGCTTAGTTGTGCGTTTACAAACCATATATGGCATATACAAGTTTAGTGTCCTTCTAAACCTTTTTTTTTTTTGAACCAAAGATATTTTTGAATCAACTATATAAAAGCATTGATACTAGAAGACTGGAAATGGAATTTTTTCTCATGACATGGCCAAACGATGTTTTTAAAAATATTTTATATTAACCTGAAACTATAATATTTTAATGCTTTATGAATTTGAGGATTCACGCAACCAAAAAGCGGTTTTCGTGTTTAACGTGGATATATTACATAATTTTATAAAAGTATATAGCTATCAGGTATACATGGATATGTATTTAGTTTTGGATTCTAAAAGGAGCGAAGAAGCTTATGGTTTTACAAAGATGTTTATTTTTTATATTTTTTTTTTCTATGGACAACTTTTATACCAGAGGACTTGCTCTGATTTTTACGTGTAGCAACTTTTCTGAAAGGAAATCGGTGAGGGGGAAGCACCTAAAATGAGATTGTTTTTTAGATTTTCTTCGGAATTTTCTCAGCAAATTTGAAAATCTAGGAAAAACGTAGGAAAACCGGGGAAATCGGTACAACATTAAATAAGTATTTTAAAGAAAATATACAGAGCCTGCTAAATTATTTTAATATAACATGGCAGATATATTGTTGAAAAATCGTCACTGTCAAATGATCACCGCTCAGAATCGTTTTTTCGTAAGCAATGGTCGGTCGTTGCTTACAGGTATACATTGAATTACCTATAACAGTTGGTACACCCGTCTCCATTATGCTAGGACGTCTTTTTGAATTAGTCATCATAATAAAATAATGAATCATACATAATTTCTTATGGAATGTAATCATTGGAGGATTTACGGGATGCATAATGCAATAAAAATTAAATACCATGTTACGTATATCATTTATATAGTCATTAATTATTTGGAATAATTGATGATGATATTTTAAAATTGTGTTTGTATATAAATATTCGAAATAATATTTTTACTATATCGTTTTCAAATTGTATAAACTCAAGGCCATAGCTGAACCAAATTTTTGAGAAGTTTTTTCAATTAAATCATCTATTTTTTAATATTTTCATTAAAAACGATACTTTTGAAAATATTTCGGGGAGATTTTAAACCCCCACCCCCCTAGATACGGTCTTGAAGTTAAACTGCTATATCCTTAATGTGAGATTTAAATGCGTATCGTATTTACATATTACTAAACTTTTTCATTTATACATTATTATTTTATCGTGATAAAACATTGTGTCTATACAGCATATATTATATCCGGATGAATAAAATATAACATGTTTTTATACTATTGTTGTGCTCACAATTGTAAGAAATCTTAATCGTAATGTACGATGTTTTATGTATTTAAAACCATAAAAGCAATGCTCGTGTATATATACTACATTATTTCATATATACTTGTATACACCCAAAGGCCAAAATAACAATATGAATCTCTTATATATGTATGATTTATATCTGATGGTTTTATTTATAAGTTAAAAGTTATACTCCAAAATCTACTTTTATCGTACACCGTTTTTAAATGAATATTTTTGCAAATATGAAATCTATATATTTTATCTCGAAAATAAAGTAAAACAAACGTATTAACTTATTTTCAAATACATTTAAATTCTGAGGTACCTAACTATATTAGTTTCGATATTGATTATCCACGGTTGTTATATTTTTTTGGCAACAATGTTGTACGGAAAATATATACTGTAAAAAAAAATCGTTCTTGTTTCTAACAGATAATCGTAATAATCAATAAGGTAATACCAATCAATGGAATAAGTTTGTGCGAGATAAATTAAATTAAATGTTACCTGTAATATATTTTCTAGAATCTAACTCGGGAAAACTGAAACACTAAATTCGAATCGATGAAATTAACCACGATTTCATTTTTTTTTTTTTTTTTATGTGACGTTTAATAATGTACAATTATCAGTTCAGAGCTGGACAATAAATATGAATATATAGAGAAATTTAATCTATAGGTACGATGTAAAGTTAATCTTATGTATTTTAATATTTAGTCAATAAATAAGTGATTTATATATTATTTGTATTATTATAGATATAGCTATATATATACTGAGAAACCACTCAGTAAATTACTCTACGAATTCACTTGTAATACGATTATGAAAATAATAGGAACTTTAATTTTGCCACTTCTAATAATTGAACGAACTTTTTTTATACCACGAACAGTGTTCTCGTTGTTTTTTTTTCGATATCTCATATCAATGATATAATTTTATAGTATTTTTATGATAATCAATGTAAAATAATACCAACAATTAACCGAAGGCTATATCCTTATTAATTTTTAATGTGATTGGAAAGAAATTAACGAAAAAACACAGAAATTATTGTACCTAACCTAAACCAATTGCTAGAACAACTACACATTTTAATCATTGTAACAAGTTCCGAAATTTAATTTTATTCTACAAATGATTTTGAGATTTTGTTTAATTTTTTAGCAAAAATTAACTATGTTATGTATATAAATAATTTACTCTGTATATTATGTTAAAATGTTTCTCACGTCAAAGTTTTGACTTTTTAATGTACAGTGCCTACTAATATGTCATATATATTATAATTAATTTAACTGTTCTTTTTTTTTGCCTTTCACCACTTGTATTAATTATTATTTTTACCAAACATGTTTTATGGCTGCCTACTTTATATTTATTTTAAATAAAAAATAATAATTTTAAAAATAACGATAGCTAAGGGAAAGAAAATTTCTGTCTGTTAGTAGCCGGCAAATCACTTAATCCGCCGCTATAACTACCTATGGTTAACGTTTTTATTTCTCGATTAATGTAGGAGGATATTGTTCTCCTGTAAACATTAAATACGTAAGAACATCTATTCTTGTTTCATTATAAGCAACTGTCAGCTTTTTTTTATACAATATAATATATATATGAGAATATTTTATTGGAAGCCTATAATATCGAAATGAGATTCAAAAAAATTTTAATTGAAAAAGTTTACTCGATCTCTCTATAAGCGAGTTAAACCGATTTTAATCCGTAAAGTTTAAAAGTATGTCAATTTTAATCTAATTTTTTTTTATACGTGTAGCTGAATAGATTAGGTATGAAATAATTTATTCTATTTATTATTTAAAATCAAAATAGTATATTTATATACTATATAGTAAAATATCATATTGTGTACAGTACCTATGTAGTCAATTTCGTGAATTTTAATTGAATAGGTACTTAAAACTTACACGAGTCGAATAAAAAAAAAAAACAAACAAGTTTTGAAAATACGATCCTTTAAATCTGTGTATAAAACTAAATCTTTCGTATACGTACAATGTAAGTGCAGGTATTGTATAATAGTATATAATATAACTGCAAGTTTTCTCTCCTACGTATATAATATCTTTTACGCACAAAAACTTTTCCAATAATAAAATCCTGACTATACGATGTTGATATAGAACTTTTTTTTTTTTTTTTTATCAAAGATATTAATTTGTATTCTACAAAGAGAGAAAGAGAGACAGAAAGAGAAAAACAGAGCAATTATAATAAATAAACACAATCGCGTAATACGGAGAAAAAAATATTTTAATCAAAAACTTTTTATCAAAGCTGGGATGATTTTAATTTGATTTTGTACAGTCATAATACGATATTATGTACAAATATTAATTTAAATTAATATTATGCGTGTATAATTATACAATATGCATTACTTTTCGGGTGTGACAGTACTAATTTATTTATGGTTAATGAACGCCCGGGCTGTAGCAGGGTAAAAATATATCAGTCAGGTTAATAATGTTGTATAAGTACGTGGAAATTAACATGATTAAATTGCTTTGTTTAACACAAAACGGACGGGAAACCTATATAGTAAACAATGGAAAAACAAAAAAAAAAATACTCTATTTAAAACGTGTCTTGTATTGTTTTTGAAGATCGCATTAAAAAGTTCACAGCTGCAGTTTGTTGTTTTTCGGTAAACCGCTCATACGTAAACCAACTATTTTCATTCAGGTAAACTTTCGTCAAAATCCGTCGACCTTTTAACCTTCATATTGCAAGTGCATAAAATAAACAAACAAATCCGGGTCGGTGAATTAACAAACACAATAATCACGTATTCACGTCTCTTTTCACCGTTGATGATCATACGAGTGCGTACATAATGTTATGCACACATAATAATATAATTGTATATTATTCATTGTCAAAATAGCCGCTAATATTATTGAACTCTGGTTAGAAAATTCCATATACTCGTATAAACGGTACTATTTCAAAAACGGCGATAACAGTGTATGCCTACTTAGATAACACGGGTCTATACATTTGTAGAAAATAATTGTCTTTTCGAACATGGGCAAAAAAAAAATGCAGGTCACTATTTAAATATGTGCAGGCGTTTATACGGTATACATAATAAAGATGTAATTTTGAAACCGACTAACAAAAAAAGTCTAGACGTATAGTACTTGTGTGACTAGGCGTCTAGATTTAGGAGGGATTGAAGCGTTTTTTTAATGGATGTCACGTTAAGTTTTCAAGTTTAGTAAGGATGATAAAATGTAACCCGATTTTTATTGAACGTCCCACTTCAATCCCTTTTTCATGATTTCAATTCAATCTTATTTCTCACGTTTTTCTATTACTACAAAAACTACGAAAACGTCCAATAATATCAATATACTATCAGAATATCTAAATTTACTGCACTTTAAAGTGCATTTATCCGTTATCGGCTATCAATATTGTCATTTGCATATGTTTCATATGTTTGTGGGACACGAGTAACAAGAAAAAAATAAATAAGCAAAAAACAAAAAAAGGTACCTCTCAAAGTCGTTGATTAACATCCCCTATATTACAAAAAGAAATAAACATATCCGGTCATAATAGTGTTCATGCGAAATCTTCGTAGACGTAATTTGGATCGTCGGTTCGGGATTGGATAATCATACTGCAGAATGTGTTACAGAACTGAATTATACATTTGATGGCACGAAACAAGTATTCGTTTGAAAATAATAAATGCCACTTAACCGTATAATTTTATCGTAATTATTTAAGAAAAAAAAAAAAAAAAAGGTTGTTTTCTTATCGAAATGTAATAGGAATTGTCTGTTTTCATTTATATGTTAAGAATGAATAGGAAATGTATACATTACGTGCGCTGTACGGACATCTCTATTTTTCAGAACATATTAGTGATTTCGATTTAATTTCCGAGCGCTTCAAGCGTGTACGGGTGACTCGTGTTTAAAACACATCGCGACACCGCATGCAAATCGGGACGCCGAACGTACGTACACGTATCGTACACATGGACGGCCGGTCGGTCGGTCGGTCGGTCGGTCGGTCGATGTGTTACGTATAATAACGCGCGCGTGTATCGTCGTGCGACCCGGTACCCGAGACTGTGTCCGAAGTGTTGCGAAGTGCGTTACGGGAAACCGATATTTTCGCCTACCGACCAACTAAAACGGACCGTCGGCCGATCTCAATGATATCCGCAATACGCGTACGCGGTACCGTATTGCCGGATCCTCGCTCGTGCCGCCGCGCGAAACCCAAAAAACCGGTGCACGCGTTGCCGGTCCGGTAGCCGCGGGGATTTACGGACGGACCGCCCGGGTTAATCGAGTGCCGACGCACGCGGACGCTAACTGCACGCGTGCAAACATAAACATACGGTGTGTCTCGTTACCTGTGACGCGTTTGGCACGGGGTCGAATCCTCCGGGCGACGGTGATAATACGAGATCGGAACCGGAACGGCCGGCGCGCGTTACGCTACGGTTGTCCGGACGGCCACTGCGGCAGCCGGGTGGGCTGTCGAAACGGCGACAGCTGCGTTCGTCGTCGTCTGGTTCGCGTCCGCCACCGCCGTCACCACGTCCATAACCACGAGCACAGTCGGGCCGTCGTGCGCGGCAAAAATGGACGGGACTGTTTTACTGTGTCGCTGTTGCTATCCCGTTGCTTGTTGTCGCGTAACGTCGTGCCAACAACGATGCCGTCGAAACGTAGCCGCGGTGTGTGCGCACCTCAGTCCGGTGCGTCCCGAACCGTATTATTTAGCCGTTTGTTTACACGGAGAACGGCCGCGGCGCAATTATATCGCGTCTATCGTCGTCAGCCGCCGCCGCCGTCGCCGCCGTACGTTCGTGGCGCTGTTCCGGTGCGCGCGTTTATTCTTCGCGAATGAAAATACGCGAAAATCGTCGCTCGACGCGGTGGCACGGTACGCAGTCGGACGCACTGATATTATTATTCAAAAACGGTATACGCGCGATGTATCTGGTCGCTATCACGCGCGCGCGCGCGGTATTTATATAATAACAAACGGAAAGGAAGAAGAAAAAAAGGCGCGCACACACAGTAGTAGTGACAGTAATAGCGGTGGTGGTAGTAGTAATAATAATAATAATGATAATGGTATCGCGGCGCTCTCGTCGAGAAGCGCAACGCTGCGGCAGCGTCGGTGCTTAGAGTCGGCGTCGTCGTCCTCGTTCGGGTCGCCGCCGACGAAAATTTTATTTTTCGCGATTTTTTTTTTTTTTTTCCGCTTTTTTCGCCTGTTTATCGTTCGCGTTGCGTGTGCGTGGACACCGTATACACGATACGCGCGCACGCGCGCGCGCGTGTGTGTGTGTGTTTGCCCTCGTTTTGGGGCGCGCGTGTGTGTGACCGAGTGCGCGCGCGCATCGGCTGATCAATACAAAGACGTGTGCACCGCGGGGTAGGGGACGACACGGGGGTTAAATGGATACGCCGCCGGAACGCACCACCCTCTGCCGCCGCCGACGCCTTTCGACCCGGTCAACGGCAGCGTACATAACGCAACCGTGGCGTGACGTCACGGCTATAGCGTGGCGAGCGTACAGGGTGTGCGCCCGTGCGCCGATTGTCAAAATCATAAGGTGCGTTTCGTTCGACTCGATATTTTCGTAAATTTACGCGCTGTGTACGCCGCGGCATTCCGCATGTCGCAGGTTTTCGGCGGGTCGGTACAAGAGGAACGATTGTAATTGAAAGAAAAGTGCCTACTGCAGATGTACAATCATTTTAAGGCAAATATTCGGAATATCAATCGATCGTTGAACGGTCAGTTCGAAATCAAATTATACGACCATTTTCACGGACTCGATACGGTTGTTTTTTTTTTCTCAATCACAATAAAATTCGATTTTGTTTGTTTCGTATGTCCTGGAAAAACCGTTATTGTTTATTTTGCGATCGTTGTGTAGCGCGGGTTTGTAAATATTAATTATTTATGGGGGAGAAGGTAGAGGGAGACGGCCTGAAAACGTTGAACAGAACAAAAGTCATCGTTGCGTTTGTCTGCCGAAACGCTCTGTATAATATTATGTGTATAAAATAATATTAAACGCGCGCGCACGAAACCACCCACGCCGCCGGTGGTGATTATAGTGGCCCCGCGCGTGCCCCCCGCCGAACAGGAGCTGCTGATCTCCCGCGACCATTGATGACGACAATCAAATTTTATCGCCGCCGCCGCCGCCGCCGCCGCCGTACCGCTGAATCACGCAAAAGTCGCATTATCGTTAACGGCACGTTTCGAAAACGGCACTGCGCGTACACCGACATTAATGGTGAAAATCAAAAATAATAATAAAAAACTACGAAACGAAAGTGCCGGGTCCAGGCGCAGCGTATGTGTATACACATATGCGCTGCAGACCGGTGACCGTTGGCGCGCGCAAGGGGAGTGGCGGGTGAGTTAAGGGTCATATCTCCCTCCCTTCAACTGGCTCTTAAAAATCGACAACAACTATAGAGGAGCGTTTGTTTAGTAAATTTAATTTTTAAATCAATTATGTTACAGCCGAGTCGCAAAAGGAAAAATGCTCGATTTGTTGAATACAAATTGGGTTGTTTTTGTATCCGGCATTTATATAATATTATCGGCTTATTATTGATATGTAACAAAAGATGATCCTGTACGAATCATTTGCGGCTCGTGATTATTATATTTACTATATCTCCCACTGACCCCACCTCGTTGCCGAATTCCTGACTAATGGCCAGCCGTGTTTTTATTATTTTTTTTTTATTCAAGGTTTGTTTTTTCTCCTCGACAAACTGCGGCATATAACCGCATTGCACAAAATACCTGATTTGCATGAATACGTATAAAACGCATATTATTATCTGAGTGCAGACGCGCAGTGCGCCAGACAAAGTTCCACCGCGCGCGCGCACAGTGTAATCCGAGGCTATCCGAGGCCAGTCGTGTTACAGACTGAATTTTTTCTGAGTATTTAAGTTTACCGAAAAGAAACGGAATTCCAAAATTCGTTCATACCAAATGCCGGAAGAAGTTCATTCCAAGATATGAACGCCCGTGTGTTTGGCACTCACTAACTCACTCAGTAATTGATCGATAATCGTAAATTTAAAGTACTTTCAATCAAATTAAAGCTTTAATCTAAGATAAGGTTCAAATTACGACAAAATCAATAATCGGTAAAAAAACAACTTGGAGTGGGGGCTAGATGGGCGATCGTCGTTTATAGAAGTCCAAATCTAAAGTTTTTCTAATCGAGCTACAGCTTTAAAACTTAACACATAGATAGTGTTTAATGTTGTAGTTCCGATAATTTTTATCGTCCATAAAACACTATGTCGCGGTACTGCTACAACAATAGTATAAAGTCGCACTTATATTTTTCGATAGCGTGCTTTATACTTTCTACAACTGCGCGTACGTTATCTAGATTACAGTAGTGTAAAAATTATAATATATAGAAACTGTATTTTGAGATTTATACTGTGTATAGCCATGTATGACGTGGTTGTATAATATTATTATATTTAAGTAGAATGTAACATTATAAAAAGTATGTAGTGATATCCCACCAAAAACATAGATGTGAAAAAGTGGCCAAGTTCGGTAACAAAATGTTTGTCAGCCTCATTGTAAAAAGAAATGATATTTAAGGGGGTACAAAATTTAAATTGATAAAAATGAATTCCCTTTACTTTATTTTTGACTTGGAACGTTTCAATTCTAATAAATAAATACACACCCAATTCATTTGTAAATTAAATATTATAAATAAAAATTGTTCTTTATCAATTTTATTTTCGGTTCACCTAATATTTTTTTTCTTATCGAACTGTTTCTCGAATATGATTTTGATGGGATTATTACAATGAATTTGTATACCTCAACATTTTTATTTTGTATTATAATTTCTATTCGACGACGGGTCATTTATATATTACAATCAGTGGCCTACAGTACACAGGGGTAGAGTGGTTAAGTGCCTTATCCCCCCTCCACTCAAATGGATTTTTAATACGCCAAATATAATTTGATTACAGTACTTTAACAAACCACAAAAATAGACTATTTTTTTTAAAAAAAAAAATTCGTTCGCATTAATGCTCACCGCCCTGCGTGTACCGAATTTGCCTATACGCTGCGCCGTGTCGAAAAACAACACCCATCTGCCTTAAACATTATTATTATTATTATTATTATAATCACACAAAATCTTCTTATTGACAAGATTGCGGTAGATTATAATCGAGTAAATACCGTATTTTAACTATACAATACGACGACTCTTGAAAAGTTGGTATACCCGGCTTACCGCGTATTCCCGCAATGGACTTTAAACTTAACATTTCAATTTATTATTACTATACGTTTTGCAGATAATATGTGGGTTTGATTTATGCGATTTCATACTCCAAAATACTAAAATACACCGTTACTGTATAAAACAAAGACATTTTAAACCATCCTCGGAATTGAAAATTCAACACTCGAACAGTTTTTACTCACAGGTTTTTCAAAATTTAAAAAACACCGAATCCTTAACCAATAATATTATAAATTATAAATTCAAAAAATGTCCATTTTAAAATAACACACGTATACGATGACCTTTTGCTATTAAATTATTAAACGGAATTGCTTTTAGAGCATTACTTCTGGTCCGAAAAGCATTTTCCGATAAAATAAAAAACCTATACGTCGTTATAATATTATTAATAGCTTAATTATTGATTATTCGATGATGAACAAAGCGAATCTAAACTAATCATAAAACGTTATTACGCATTTCATAAAATAATTTCGAAATAACAATGATTACATTTTTACCTGTACAATTTAAAATTTAAATTATTTTTATACACAATTGATTGTTAATATAATACAGTTTCTACGATAATGACCTATATACGATATTATCGGTTAACTATATCACATGTATTAAGTATATTTTTTAATCAATAATCTATTTAAAATAATTCGTCCGTATATCAAATTAAACAGGTACATAATAATAATCACATCCTCTTTCTAACATGTTCAACTTTCATTAAACATTTTATTTCTACATTTCTACGTGACACAGTTATTGGGTCACGCATTAAAGAAAAATAACTACGTTTCTATAATATTGACCTTAATATTATTTTTATTAACATTTTCTTGCACTTTCTTTATATTATGCACTATATGCAAAATATATTTATATATATATATGTAGTGGTTAAGCCCCTGTGGATATAAAATAAGTTTGATCGGCCAAATTGTACACATAATATTGCGTACCTAGACTTTTTCTACCATTCAATTTTCGATAAAACCGTATTGAAAATAAAGTAATATATTGTAGGTACCATTAAATATAAATTTGACCTAAAATTTAACGACAACCATTTTATTGATACAATATTTCGAATGTATAAATAACAAACAGTATACACATTGCTACTATTTATATCAAATTTTCTTGATCATTTTTATAATATATATATATATACATATATGAAATCTCTGTAAGAAACCAATGAATATAAATAGATACGCCTTCGGCAATAACCATAGTTACGTCATTCTTGAAATATTTTATAATAATCTATACTTGCTGGAATTTTTAAAATGTTTGAAACATCGATTTGTGATGGCATCTCGTTTGGCATTAGTTTAAAATCAAATGCTATGAATATTATGATATCCGAATATATTACTTCCACTATAGCCCAAATGAGAAACATTAAAAAAAAACATCTATACTCTATAGTTATGCTAAATTCTAAAGCATAAAAATTGAATGAAATAATTAATAATTAGTTTTATGACTTTCAATACAATATACTAATAAACTCGCGCATTGACTTGTATTCATGAAGAGGTTATCTATATTTATATTTATATAGATACCTATTATTAATCCCTGCCGTTGAACTTCCCTACAACTTAGGTATTGTCAAAAATTGCTCTATTAAGTATTATGGTATTATTAAAATAGCATATTTATTTAAACATAATAGTTTAAATATAGGTATAAAATGTGCTGTCTATCCCTTGAAAAAGAACGCTAAATCTTGTGTTCGAACTCGAAACATGCCGATTGACGACAATTAAATTGACAATCATATTTATATGATTTAAATAATATCCAAAAATGTCAAGTTTAAAATT